AGATGAAACAAGGAAGTAGCAGAGTGATCTTCCTGTCTGTACAGAGTGACAGAGATTTGTAAATCACAAAGCTTACTTAAACAAGTTACAAGTCCTTTAGCAAATAAAACAGTAAGCATACACCGATCAGCCATAGTATATTCCTTGTACTTACCATTATTGTTCCACCTGTCTGAGTCCTCAGTGGTTTCAAAACTCTTCTTTGAACCAGGAAGTTGGGCAGGAGGACAAGAGGTGGGATTTCTGTTATTGTAGCAACCACAAATGACCACTGGCAGTAAAAGAGTTATAAGCACATTTAAAATGATACATTTAGTTCTCCTAGACGCAGTTTTTAATGATACTATATTATATACATACTATAGTATATTACATTCTACCTGGCATTACTGAGTAAGATAAATTAAAACTTTAACCATTTTTTTTGTGTCTAGGATTGTGTAGGAAAGTATTTTAAAGTCAGGGTTTTATTGCTGGGGGCGGAGACTACTTGTAATGATTGGCAGCTTCCGCCGACATCAATATGGAAAGAGCCCAATCGTTTCATGGATGAACCTTTTCCCATTGTAGGTAGTCCTGCCCTTGTCTTTCGCTCTCACGGGTCTGAACCCGCAGTGGAAGGTGACGGGGAAAAAAAAGGAGGATACGGCAGCATAATGGAGACTACCAAGATCAAAGGGTATATGGATTTCTTTGACATGATATAAAAAAGGATGAATAATAAATGTCAACACGGGCCTAGGCAACTGAGTTGAGTAAAGTTGTGTTTTTGGTTTACATACAACTAAAACTGATCAAACCTTACTAACAATGTAGTAATGCAAATCATGTCTTGAATGGTATATAAATATAATAATAAAAACAAGACAAAAATATCAAGAGAAGTCTGCATGCATATACTCAAGTACATGCAGATACTCTATATCATTGGTAGCCAAACTCCGGCCCTCCAGCTGTGGTGGAAGTACAAATACCATGAGGCATTGCAAGATTCTCACAGCCACAGACATGACTCCCGGAGAGAGATGCATCATGGAATTTATAGTTTCACCCCAGCTGGAGGGCCGGAGTTTGGCTGCCCCTGCTCTATGTAGTTACCTTAGAAACCATATAGGACATATGTACAACTATACCTTTAGCTTATTTAAGTAGCGTCTTGTATGTACAACTAGTAAGTCTTCTTCTGTTGCCTCCCTAGCAGTCACAAGAGTGTCATTTGTGATTAACTTTTCTTCTGAAAAGGAGAAATAAACATATCACTCAGTACACAAAGAAACAGTACAAATGTTTAAAATATTTGTTCTGTAGATCAGTTACATACTTCTTATCCTTTTATACATTAAAGCAAACCTGGGGCGATACATAAAAATGTATGTATTATTTGTAATTTTGGGACAGCCATATACATACACAGGCTCTACTTCCTGCTTTACAGTGCTACCCAGTGGCTGTGCTTTACTACCCCTTCTCACAGTGCAAGTGTGTAAGTACGCTGACAGTGAAAACACTTTCCTCCTTGTGTGGCTATAATAGAATCACAACAGCTGATCTGAGGCTACATCATCAGTTCCACATGAAAAAAAAATCACTTTTGTAGAGGAGACATGCACAAAGTCTCTTTTGCCAAAAAAACCTTCTCCACGGCTCCTGATAATTTTTTTTTTCTTCTGCTTATACTGCATGATGCAAGCACATGATATCCTGGCTTTATTTTTTGCATGCTGAGAATAGAACTACTGCGGCCATACACAGGAGTAACATCATCAGTGGCCATGCAATGGCCAAAGAAGATTGTAACGGACCTGCTAGAGTTGTCAGCAGCCAGGATGGAGCGGTGAGAGGATCCTTGACATGTCATCATTGGAGGACAGCACAGTAGAAGGTATGTGTGGCATAATGTATATATACAGTATGTTGTGGATAGTCTCCAATTAAGGCGAGAGCTCACCTCCAACAATGAGAGTTTAGTTCCACTTTGGAGAGGCAGAGTCATTGTGGTGAGCCCCTGAGAGCTCTGTTTACTGGCTATTCAACAATCTCTGTACATATATAGTTACGTTTTCCATGGATTATTTTAGAAACAAATTACCTCTGAGAAAGTTTATTACTTTGCCCCATTTCCCAGAATCAAATGGATGAAGTTTTTCAAGGCCAATAAATGTAATGTTGTAGTCGCTGGAATAAACAATTGGCCAACAAGTTGCAGGGAAGTCTTGATACAGCTGAGTGTCATGAGGCCTACAAGACAGAATGGCAAAGAGTTTTCACAAATGTAGATAAATGGACACGCCTGGCTTAAAGTGTATTTCCACTTTTGCAGCCAAATTGGCATAACACCTGCCTTACATTTGTTACATGTTCCCGTTTACACAGCATAGCTTAAAAAATAAAAAATAACTGTTTACATTTTATTTGCTTTTTTACTTGCTGAAAAAAAATATTATTTATCTTTTTCCTCCTATGTAATATATAGAAGGGGACTGGGGGGTAATATTTGCCATAACTAACCTTGTCTTTATTGTGCTAGCAGATCTACATTTTCACTTTTAAAAAGATTTGCAAGACTATCTGTCCAAAGGATTTAAAGGAGAACTGTGAGGTGAGTGAAAATCACATCCTCATAGTTTGAACCGAACTGACACACGTCGGCTCAATAGACCGTTGCTCGCTCACTTCTCGATCATCTCCCTGCAGAGAGCGATGACTGTCAGTCACGGCTCCCAGCAGGGATTCCCTGTCCGATCCTCCAGCGCTGACTGGCAGAACGGACGGGGAAGGGCACAGCTGGCTCTGCCTCTAGATAGGCAGAAACAGCTGTCATTCACGCAGCTGGGTGGATGTCAACAGCATTGTTGGGATCCGTCCCGACTGCGGCGGTCTCAGTATACCGCGAGCTGTAGCTCGTGATATACTGAGCTTTGGGTCACGGGATGTCAGGAAACCAGGGGTGTCACCTCCCCACATCCTGTGGTGTGATTTCCTAGCTCCCTGTACATGTGCCTTGCTTTGTTGCCTGACCCCCTTTATCTGGACCTCCTGTTGCCGATCTTGGACTGCCTTTCGCCCCTGAACCTTTGCTGCCTGCCTCGACTCAGATTGGACTTGACTTCTCTTTGGATTAACCCTTTTGTACCTCTGCCTTCGGACGCTTCAGGCCATTTCCTGCCAGTGAGTTCCACTTCGTTCTTCTGCCAAACCATTGGCACTCCTGACACGGGAGGACGCTAATATATGTCCTCCTGTGACCCTTAAGAGAACTATGGGGAAAACCACCTTTTTCCTGATGTGTTAGCTTTGTAAATTGAACCTTATGTCTGAGTGCTGGCAGTAAAGGTGAGATGGATATGTGGTCAAGTACAGGTGGTTCTAAGACATTATAAAAGTTGTAACAATGATACAAAACTGGAAAAATTTGGACAAATACTTTAGATTTTTGGTCATGTTAGTAGTACTAATCTCCGGTATTGATTTTATTAAGCCATGAGAAAGCCAAAGAGGTAATTCCTCTACTCCTTATGCAGGTGTAGGGTGGTTCTAAATAAACTCTGCTACTTCTCTGAAATTTCTAGCTACAGATTTCCCAGCGTAATGAGGGATTCAGCGCTGTGTTTCTGGACTAAAACAAAGAATGAAATCATGGATGTAGTAAGTATTAGGCCTGGTGGACTCAGTTGAGAGGCTTTCCTGTCTCAGGTTTTTGTTGGACTTGGCCTTAAATACCACTCTATGCAAGTCAGTTTTTTAGGTTTACTAGCCCTACAAACATTTTACATATAAAAATAAATATCAAATATCGAATATAGATAGATATCAAATATTTTTTCAGGGAGCTAAAATAACTCTAAAGGTTTACACTGTAACTACAGTAACTCCCCATTATCCGGCATTTATACAACCGGCAGTCTCAAGCAACTGGCAAAAAAAATCGAGGATATAATATGTTATTGATTTTTTTTTTTTGATGTTGCTTGATAAAAATGGGGAAACTACAAAATTTTGCTAGCAACTAAATTTATTTCGTTGTTAATTCAATTTTTGTGTTTACATTTTGCTGCTGGCCAGTGGCTAGATTCCACCTTCGGCAGCAGAACATAAACAAGGGGTTTCAATAGCCAGCCTGATTGTTGGCTATTTCAAATTGCAATAGCAGGTTGGCTATTGTACCGGCCCACTGCGCAGAGGAGCGGACCTGAGAGAGAACTTTCTCTCTCAGGTCCGCTCCCCTACTCAGTGGGTGGGTGCAATAGTCAGTCTGCTAATGGCAATTGAAATAGCTAATAGCAGGCTGGCAGCTAAAACCCTGCCCACAAAGCAGAGGAGCGGACCTGAGGGAAAACTTTCTCTCTCAGATCCGCTCCTCTGCTAAGTGGGCGGGGTTTCAACTGTCAGCCTGCTATTGGCTATTTCAAAATGCAATCGCCAAAAACCTTGCCCAACAAACAAAGGAGAGGACCTGAGAGAAAGAGAGGCTTCAATAGCCAGCCTGCTATTGGCTACTGCAATTTGAAATAGACAATAGCAGGCTGGCTATTGCTCCCACCTGCTGACATTCACCTGTCGGCTGTGGAAGCTAGCCGACAGGTAAATAGTGCTGCGGGAGGAAAGAGGGGGCGCCGCGCTGTGGTTGTTCGAGAGTTACTATTAAAGGAGAACTATGGGGTCAGTGCTTTTCCCCATAGTTCTTCCTAGGGTCATGGGAGGACACATACTAGCGTCCTCCCGTGACCCAAAGCTCAGCATACTGCGAGCTGCTGCTCGCGGTATACTGAGACCGCCGCAGCCGGGACGGATCCCAACATTACTGTCTGGATCCACCCAGCTGCAGGAATGACTCTGGCTGGCCTATCTAGAGGCAGAGCCAGCTGTGCCCGCCGACACTACACCACTCTCCATCCGGAACATTTGCTGCTGTGATTTATCTCCCCAGCAGTGCTGGGGGACACTTCTGGGGGAAATATCTTCTGAATAATCTCTCACCCAGAATCTATTCTCATGGAGCTGGGGAGCTGCTGTTACACCTGGACCACCTAAACAGCAAGTACTTTCCATAACTATTGAGACGCTCTTATTAGTTCATGTTGCATGACTAGAAATTGCATCTACCATTCAATATAATTGTGACATGTCATATTTACTCTGCAAGCCTGATTCATCTCCCTGCGTGTTACACTTGGTATTCATAGATCCAATAATAGAGTGTGTTGTGGAAAGTGCCGCTGTACTACAAACTCATCTGCAATTACTCTCTAGGGGAGTGTAACACGTGCTGTGTAATCTGGAGTTCATTTATACTGCTGTATAACACTCGCTCAACTTCATTGCTGTCATAGACTACAGTTTGATGTACATGAATTACAAGACCATAATGCCACGAAATTACACCATGTGAATTAAGCTGTACTTAACGTTGTGCTACAGTCACCTCTGGACTGCATATCTCTCTATATATACCAATAGGTGGGTTTCCCCAGGGTTATTCTTTTCTCAATTTGATTCAAGTTAAAATACAATTGCGTCAAGGGTTGTTTTACTGTTCAAAGCCCGTTTCGTGTTACTGTATAACTGGTGACAAATTGTTGAGTGCGTTTGTCGTTTGTTTTGCTTGACCGATTTGGTGCAGCAACGCATGGGGTTTCTCAGCTGCCATTGGGATGTGCGGGATCCCTTGTGTGTTCCTGTGCCTTGAAGGAGGTTGGGCTTCCTCCTGACAACCCTGCACCCAATTTTAAATCTTCTGCCCCCATGTGCTCCAAGATGGAGACTCTCATAGTTTAGAGTTAGGACCGCACTATAAGAGGTGCCTTGGCGCGGCAGTGCGGCTTTCACATCCTCTGCAGAAGACGTGTATCCAAACCTCTGTTATTATCCTTAGTGGTGAGACAAGTTGTTTTACATGCTGGTTTGTGAGTGTGCCATGATGCCTTTCTACTGTTTTACTGTTCAAAGCCCGTTTCGTGTTACTGTATAACTGGTGACAAATTGTTGAGTGCGTTTGTCGTTTGTTTTGCTTAAGGGTTGCACTGAGTCGCCTGCATGAGGTAATGCAACAATAGACTGTGCATGACTCAATGTTGTAAAATTCCCCACGGTGTATGATGTTCCACAGTTCATGCGATCGCTCTCGTTTACTATAGAGCGTATGTTGTGGAACTGTACCTGAATCACCATTATTCCATGAAATAGCATAACAGAATTGTTTGATTCATATTGTAATACACTGGCCAGCCCTAACCTCTGCAGTTGAGATCCTCATCAGAGAAGAGAACCTCGCTAAAACGTTGGTGTCACACAACCCTCCAGTGTCCACCCAAAACTAAAATGTACCTTTTAGGCGGACACAACAGATATGGTTTGAAGCAGACTTAAAAGAGAACTATGGGGTGAGTGTTTTTCCTCATATACTAACCTCCTCCCGTGAACCAAAGCTTAGAATATCGCGGGCTATTGCGTGAATGACAGCTGGCTCTGCCTATCTATAGGCAGAGCCAGCTGTGCCCGCCCTCTCCCCTGTTTGTTCCTCCACTAAACGCTAGCGGATCGGAGAGGGGAAGGGGGAATCCCTGCGGGGATTGGCGCCATGTTTCTGCTCACTTCCCGATCGATAGAGCTGACCTGTGAAGAGCTTCTTTATCACGGGTCGGCTCTAACTATGACGATGAGTGGAACTCACTCACCTCATAGTTCTCCTTTAAAGTGATTGTCTCCTGAGCCTTTCCACAACATAGCCCAAACCTCAACACAGTGTGTAAAAAAAAAAATAATTCTTGTGAGCTTCCAATCAGGTCCTCCGTGGGAACCAATAATTTTATAACTATATTAATACAGTAAGAATTTCTTGCATGATGGGCTTTAGTTTTGGCTATGTTGTGGAGCCACTCATTGGACAATATATGTTGGAAGGAAGAAGGAGCATGGGAAACTGTCAGTTCAGAAAACCTATGGAGGATGTTAGAGGCTACTTCAAAATATGCATGATCAAGTGATTACTATGATCATGCATGTTCTGGAGATATCGAATGATCATTGTGCCTTGGAATTGGAAGATTATACAATATACAGAGGAAACCCATAGAACAGTAACGTTGTGGAGGCTTTTTTTACAATTTTTTTGCATTTTATCATGATTTGTTTTTATGTGGTAGCACTGAGGCTGGGTTCACACCTGGGCATTTTTTCAGCGCTAATCGAAGCGCTGAAAAACGCTCAGCAAGTGAAATCCCATAATTTCCTATGGCCATGGTTCCCACCTGGGCGTATTTCAGCACGTTGAAACGCGGTGAAAAACGCCCTATGCCTAAATAAGTACAGGCGCTTCTTTTGGGGCGTATTTCCATGCATATCCGTTAGGATACAGCCAGATAGCTCTCGTAAACGTGCATTTGATGTGCGTTTTGTGGACCGCAAATTGTGGTAAAAACACGTGGCCCGAAACGTGTGTCATATGCGCATATTACGCCCAGGTGTGAACCCAGTCTAAATCTTTTTTGTTGTTGTTTGTTTTGAATAAAGTGGAGAGGGATTAGAACACCTGTCAGCTGTGTATTGCTGTTTGTGTCCCCGCTAGGGAGATTCATACTCTCTATTTGTCCTGGTGGCTGATATTACTGATAGTCAAAGTAAATCCCAAATTTTGGGTTGTCACCAGAACAGGAAAATAAATCATCCAATTTGGACTCTAGTTCTGGTGACCTTGCTGACCATCAGGGATTTCCCTCTCTTTGGAGGGATCTCCTCTCCCTTCCTGTTGTGGCTATCGAACAGGAAGTGAAGGGAAATCTCCACAGTGAGGCACAAATGGCAAAATAAAGCTGACAGGGGTTCCAAACTCTGTCCAAAACAAAAAAAAAACAAAAAAGAAAGTTTTGGCTTCAGTTCTACTTTAATCTGCTCTCCTCTCTGTACTCACTGCCCATAATCTTGAATCTCCTTCCTTCTCTCGATACAAACTAAATTTCCTTTCCTTTCTGTATGGTGACCGGCAGCCTTATCACCCCCCCTTCTCTGTATGCACTAATCAGCACTCCGAACCCCACTTTCTTTCTGTATATACACTAACCAGAATACCCTTATCCATGCTCTCCTTCTAAGACCTGGTTCACACCTGGCCGTTTTCAGTTTCGTGCGTTTTTGCGCAATTTGTTTAGTGTTTTTTGCTTTTCAAAATGCGTGTTTCTCCCAGCATAGAGATGTCTATGGGACCAAAACCGCGCAGCATCCACCTGAAAATAGCTCCCATATCTAAACTAAGGTGTGAACAGTCACTCTTTGATTTGCATAGAAATGTGTTTTGCGCGTTTTGGCTTGACTCTATGCTGACCAGTGGCCTGAATCCTCTCCCCTTCTCTCTATACAATGGCCATAAGCCTGTATCCTCTCTTTTTCTCATTGTATACTAATCAGCAGTCTGAATCTCCTCTCCTTTTCTCTATACATTGAACGGCGTCCTCTCTCTTCTCTATTCACCAATCAGCAGTCTAAATCTCCTCTCCTCCTCTCTATACACTGACCAGAAGCCTGAATTCCCTCTCTATTCACCATTCAGCAATCTAAATCTCCCTTTTTCCTCCCTTTACACTGACCGAAGGTCTCTATCCCCTCTCTTGTCTATACACTGATCAGCAGACTACTGTAAATCCCTAGTGTACTGACCAGAAACCTGTATCCCTACTCCTCTCTATACAGTGACCAAGGGCATGAAGGTCCTCCCCTTTCCAACCACTGATCAGCAATCTGTATCCCCTTTCTATGCTTTTTACACAATCGGTGTACGCTCTTGTTCTGTCTGTTTACTGACCTACAGCTGAAATGCTTCTGGTACTCTCTATAAAGGGCAGGCTGCACTCATGCTGCTTGTGTGTTTAAACAATACGTGCCCTCCTCTACATGTATTGTCAAACTGTCTGCAGCCCTCTTTTTCTCCTGTACACAATACATTGCCCCCTGTGGTTACTCACATGTTTTCTTCCGCAGGGCCGGGTCACTTCTCAGGAAGCCAGAATGACAGATGACGTCAGGCAAAGGAGGTCCTCGTGCACTTGTCACCGTGACATCATAGGAAACAGCCACAGTGTCGAACAGAGAGCATGCGAATGACAACGAATGAAAAGATCATTGCCAGCAAACTTCCCTCTTTCTGAATCACTTAATTGCTATGAGAAGAATAGGAATGTGAAAGAGTAAAGTGTTATACAGAGTTACATACAGTATAGACAATAGCAGCAAAGTGGAAATACAGGCAATACTTTTAGCTGGCTGGACAAATCATCAGTTACCTTGTCTAGAAGGGACAAAGAGGAAGGCTGTGTGTCAGGGGAGTTTCTTCAGGTAGAAACAAGAATGACAACAATAAAAGGAAACCAGGAAATAACAAGGCTGTACACCATAACTGCCTTTGTACAAGTGCAGTCCCCTGTGTCATTTATTATTCCCACAGTGATCCTTTAGTCTTAGCAGGACTTCAGACCAAAGCAGAAACCTTAGTAACAGCTATGTAAAGGTAGATCATTACCTGTGTCTGTATTTTGCTTGGAATGTTAGACTGTTATAACAAAATGACTTTGCACTGCATGGTCTTGAACCTGTAACAGGTTTATAACATCTGCATCAGACCAGAGGGTACTGTTGTGGGATCTTGCATAGGGATTGCAACAAATGTAGATTGCTACATTGCAAAAACTGCTACAGCTAAAACTACAAAGAAACACCACTGTATAAAACTTAACATAATGTTACTTTATTGGTGATTGCTATTATGACTAGAATTCTCCTTTTTTCTTTGCGTTATTGCTCTGTATATTCCCTCTCTCTATATTTTTCTATATATTTTTTTACCAGTGTCATACAGTAAGTTATCAGAAATCAGTTATCACCACTACTACGAGTGCCTTTTTTTGCGACACGCGACTCACGGCTTTTTAGTCACGTGTTCACTTCCACGGGCGGAATCGTGGTGGGAAACCGCGATATCCGCTCGGCATGACTGGGGTGCCGATCGGATCACACTTTGTCGACTCCTGACCCTGCGGCAATCGTGCACAAAACCGTGCGGATTGCCGCGTGGTCAGGAGTCGCCTAGGTGTGAACCTAGCCTCAGTGATCGCCCACTGTAAATAACTGGAAATAGTATGAGTTGCTATGTAACAGTTATGAATGAATTGGAAGTGATCTACACATCACTTTCTGTTCATTCATGATTGTGTACATGGTAACTCATACTATATGCATAAGTTATGAATCAGTTATTGGACAGGAACACTCAGTACAGTATAGAGCAGGGGTCTCAAACCTCTATTTTCTGTTTCGGTCTAAAAATTTCATTTGCACCTCTATTATTTACCTGTAAAAGCCTCCCTTGTAGACATCCAAAAGCCCCAAGACTTTTGCTGGGTGCTGCCATCTTGAATGTGAATTCAGCAGCCCCAGCAGACTCAGAGCTGTCAACCAATTGACACTCCATAGTACCCCCTTCGCTCCTCCTCCAATTGCTTTATAAAAGGTTAAGGAAAAAGATAAGGGTCAGGGGAGAGCTGGGCCAGCACAGACACTAATTAGACACTCCCAGAAGAGGAGAGGGCTATGACATGGAAAAAGGGAGGGGGAGGGGCTATCTTAGAGAATTGACTCCTGAAGTGGTCAAATTGGTGTGGTGTGATTTGGCAAGTTCAAAGGCGCATTGAATAAAATACCGTTTATGGAAAGAAAAAAACCAATACAAGTAAACATTTGAAACATTCGATTTTTTTTGTGCTTTTACCTGCAGTTTTTACGTTGGTGACGAGGTCTAAAAAAAATTCTTAAGAAACAAAACCTGTGTACACATACAGGAAATAATGTACAGTACTATACCGTGGTTGTAAAAGGTGCTGATTCTAGAGCTGTTCTTCATTCTGACTTCACTACCCTGGGGCATATTCATAAAATATTCACCAGCACTTAAGTCGGTGAATATATTCAGCAGGACATGCACCAAATGCCTAATGAACGACAGCCAACAAACGTTCACCAAATGTCACTTGTACTGTACGCTGAGCTCTGACAGCGAGCATCAGTATCACAAATGTTGCATGCAGTGCAGCCGACTTACAAATGCTAAACAAAAGAAAACTGGAGCAACAGTGGAGTAGATATCATTCACTACAAGCAAATCCAAGTTCATCTTTCTCTATGGCAAACAATCTGACTGAATGCTATAAGAAACATTTGCATCAGCTTACTCCACTTAATATATATTATTATATTATACACTATTTATATTGCGCCAAATGTTTGTGCAGAGCTTTACAATATATAAGGAAGACATTACAGTAGAAATCAAGAAAGGATGGTAAGGAGGGCCCTGCCCCTGAGAGCTCACAGTCTAAAGGATAAATGATTCACTTTCTCACAGACAAACTCAGTGTGCTTGTCTGACATTGAGGAATCACAATAAAAATACAAAACAAATATACACTGAGTGACCAGATTATTATGACCACCCCATCAGTACTTCGTTGGGCCACGAGATGACTCCACGAGATGACTTTGTTGGGCCGCCTCGTGACTCCACGAGATGATGAAAGGTGATGCGAGGAATCTGACACTGCACTGTTGCCCTTCTGTTGTCTTGTACCAGTCTTGCCACTCTCCGTTCTGCCCTAACATTGACTAGTCGCTGACGGCCACAATTCGTACGCTCAGACCCAGATTTTCGGCTGACAGTCCAGTCTTTAAACACTTTAACAACAGCTGCTCTTGAACATGTAACGAATTCTGCTGTTTTGCTGATACTCGCTCCATGGCTCCGAGCGCCAACAATCATCCCACGTTCAGAGGCTGTTAAATCGCGTTGTTTACCCGTATCTTCAGAAACAAATCACTTCTACTGTCGTGGTAAACAACCTGCTTCCCTATTTATAATGGTCTGGCCCTCTAGCAACTTCAGCACGAAATTATAGCTAATTTGCCTACAAACGTCAGGTGGTCATAATAAACTGACAACTCAGTGTATATTATTAGTTAAAAAGATGTCCATCTTCCAATCTAACTCCAACCAACTCTCCCTTTTAGTTTTTGGAGAGACTGATGAAAAGTTGGAACCTCTGTCAGGTTTTTATTGATGTCTGGGTCTCTGTTAGGAAGATATTCATAAATCCTGTAGCATTCCTTATTGGAAATCCCAAGACAGTGGGAAGATTTCACTGTCACTGGGATAGTAAGTGATATGAATCTCCCCAAGTAGAACGCATCAGTACAAACCAGGGATTCTACCCCCTCCCCAATTTGCTGCATGTGTCTCACTTCTTTCTAGGTGATCATCATCATTAAATCTCACAGATTTTCTGACCCCTCCTAATCAGAAATAAATAAAGTGTAGGCTGGGGTTCTGCCGAGACTGAGGTCTTTGGTATTAAGTCTCATTTAAAGAAGAATGCCAGGGAAATTTAAAAAACAAACAAACAAAAAAACGTTGGCAAACACCAACAAACTTACCTGTGTCAACGCCACTCGCTGCCGGCAATATGGATTATAAGTATATGAATCAGCAATAGCCGTTAGAGACAGCATTCTGACATTTGGAGAACTACATAAATGTCACTATAAGTCGATTGTTTTATATTGAACTATGGGATTTTTTATAATTCAAATAAATATTTATTTAGTACATATATCTGAGTCCTTTCTAAACACACTCCATCACAATAGCAATATTGTAAATGATTCTTTGTAACTCGCTGCCGGCAACAGAAGTCCTGGTTCTCGAATGCTGTGAAGAAGGAAGTGTGGGTGGGCGCATGCGCAGTCCAGATCGTGTAATGGTTACAGCCCAGCCACTGGCCACCAATGCAGGGGAGGTTATTGTTATAGGCAGTCATTGATCACTAATGTTGGGGGGTTGTGGTCACAGCCAGCCACTGACCATCGATGATTGGAGTTTACTGTTATAGCCAGCCACTGGCCACCAATGCTGGGGGGGGTTACTGTTATAGGCAGCCACTGGCCACCAATGATTGGAGGTTTATTGTTTTAGCCAGCGACTGACCACCAACCCTGGGGGGTGGGGGTGTATTATTGTTATACCCTGCCACTGACAGGGGGGTGGGGAAGGGGGTTATTGTTACAGCCAGCCACTGACCACCAATGCCGGGATGCTGGGGGGTTATTGTTATAGCCTGCCACTGACACATAGTTACATAGTTACATAGTATTTGAGGTTGAATAAAGACATTAGTCCATCAAGTCCAACCTATTAGCTCAATGCCCAATGCTGGGGGGGGGGGGGGGGGGTATTTTTGATTATATTAATCCAGCCACTGACACCCAATGCGGGGGGTTATTGTTACAGCCAGCCACTGACACCCAATGCTGGAGGGTGGGTGGGGGGTCATTGTTACAGCCAGCCACTGACTACCAGTGCTGGGGGTTTCACCATATTATCGATGACCACCAACACATGGGGGATCAATGCGGGGATTATGTTACTCCCACACTACAACTCATACATTGTGAGGTGGCATCCACTTTATTCACCACCCCTCCAGGTATTCCATGGCGGCGTGCATATTTTTCTTCTTGATTCCTTCAAGGCCTCCCTCCTATGATGAAATGTTGGGAACTATGTAGGAGAAAGTGTCTCTGAGCTCCCACAGGCTGGGGAGGATGAATATACCAATATCTCTGTATAGAACTGTACTTACAGCAGCTGCAGTCCTCGCTCTACCAGCCAATCCTGCTCCCGCCCCCAGTGAGCGTGCGTCATGTTTCATTTCAGGATTATTACTGAAGATTATTTTGATGTATGACAAGGACGGGGTGTGTACCTTTTCTTAGCACCGACATGGCGATAAGGTTGCGGGACCCTCATTTTTTGCATGTGCCGGAAATACTAAGAAAACTGATCCATGGCGTGCGTGGATTTGCTGCGGGACTTTCTAATAGGGCCATAACCTCATACAATGTCAAAAATGCTTTACTGAATCATCCCATAGTGGTCCCTTCACCCTTCCTGTCCCCACACACATTATACACATGAGGGGTGCATGTGTTCATTCTGCCGTGTGTATTCACCAACATGTACACATTATACACATGAGGGGTACAGGTCTTCAGGCTGCTCTGTATATTCACCAACATGCACACATTACACACATGAGGGGTGAATGTCTTCAGGCTGCTCTGTATCTACATGAACACATTACACACATGAGGGAACATGTCTACAGCCTGCTCTGTGCATTATTTAACATGCACACAGAAAAGGGGGGTGCATGTCGTCAGCCTGAATTGTGTACTCTCTAACATGCACACATGAGGGGTTAATATCTTCATGCTCCTCTGTGTATTCTCTAACATGCACACAATGCATGTCTTCAGCCTGCATTCTGTATTCAGTAACATGCTGCACCACTACAAACATAAGGGGTGAATGTCTTCAGGCTGCTCTGTGCATTCTCTAACATGCACACACTAGGAGTGAATGTCTTCAGGCTGCTCTGTTTATTCAGTAACATGCACATATTACACACATGAAGAGTACATGTGTCCAGCCTGCTCTGTGTTCTCTAACATGCTGCACACATTACACATGAGAGGACATGTCTCCAGCCTGCATTGTGTATTAACCAACAAGCACACATTACACATGAGGGGACATGTCTCCAGCCTGCATTGTGTATTAACCAACAAGCACACATTACACATGAGGGGACGTGTCTTCAGAATGCATTGTGTAGTCACCATCATGCACACATTTCTCTAACATGCACACATTACACATGAGGGGACATGTCTTCAGCCTGCATTGTGTAGTCACCATCATGCACACATTTCTCTAACATGCACACATTACACATGAGGGGACATGTCTTGAACCTGCATTGTGTATTCACCAACATGCACACAAGCCCTGCAGCGATAGCGGACTGTGAGCAGCCCTGGTGTGTGCACAGCATCCCCTCCCTCTCTTTACGGCGCTTCCTCTCAGATAGCGGTGTAGAGGAGGAGGCGGGGGAGCCGTTGTGAGTAATGAAACACATGGCGGGAGCGGAGGACCGGCCCGCACCTGATCAATGAGCCCCTGTGCACGTGTCTCCCGCTTGTTACATTGTGTCCAGTGTGTGCGGACAGAAGAGTGCGTGGAGGAACACCAGAGACCAGAGGACTACATCGCCATATACCTCAGGGGCCACAATGGGGATCTCACCTGGACAGGTGGTGCTAGTTGTTGTCCTGACAGGGCTGCACCTCGCATGCTGCTCTAAGCTCAACGTCCCAAAACTGCTCCTGCCATATACCCGAGGAACCCGGATCAACTACACCCTGGAGGTGACTGAGGGCTGCTACAAATGGTGAGACTTCTCGTGCCTGTGTGTGACCGAGACTGCAACTGATACCCCCAGTGAGGTCATCAGAGCCAGTATAGGGGCTCATTCACATCCGTCACTTTTTTTGTGTGGATCTGAACGCAGCAGTATTGTATATTATGAGCCCATGCGTATAGCTGCATTACTAAACTGTGCTGTATTCAGCTATGTAGAAAATTCTGCGTCCGCAGTCAGTATTTTTGCATAATGTACACATGTATGCGTGTACATGGCGGGTTTGCAAAACTGAGCTGGATAAGGATTTTTTTTTACAGACTGCATCAGCTGCCTCTCTAGAGCCAGGGCCAGCTGTGCCTGCCTACCCCCTGCCTGATTGACAGCGGCCTCTCTAGAGCCAGGGCCAGCTGTGCCCCCCCACTCCCTGCCTGATTGACAGCTGTCTCTGCCTCTCTAGAGCCAGGGCCAGCTGTGCCCACCCCCTCCCCTGTCTGTCCCTCCAATGTGCATTGTCTGCCCCGCTCACTGCAGGGAGAAAACCGTGATATAGCCGTTCATAATCGATCAGCTCGTGGTATAGAGCCGGCCTGTGACAGCTAAAGTATCACACGCCGGCTCTAAGTATTGGGAAGAGTACATTTTATTCTCCTGAAACTTCTCCTTTAACCCCTACATGAACAAAGTCTTTTTTTCCCCCGTTTTTTGCACCCATGTTATAATCCACATTTTAGGCCTGAAAATTCACAAACTTCAAACCCCCAAACATTATATATTTTCTGAAAGCCAAGATCCTGTAGAATAAAATGTCGGCATTTGTAAATTTGTATGTTGCACGATATTAGCGCAACTTATTATCAAACCCAAAAATTTAGTGAAAAATGCACTTAAGTTAAATTTAGTGCCCCAAAACATAAAATATCTATTTTTGTAATAAAATCTAAAAGATGAGGTTACAATAAGTGCTTAGATGCCCAACATGCCCAGGTTAAAAATTGTGTGCGTCTCTGAAACGGCGACAACATTCAGTACCCCAAAAAATCTGTAGACAACTCCTTAAAAGCCCCCACAGGTCATCAGTTTTGAGATACACATAAATATTGGCTCTAGAACTATTGCTCTCGCCCTGGCATGTGCGGCAATACCCAACGTGTATATCGCAATCGTCGTTTTCACCGATCTCCCCAGCTTCCAAGAGACACCCAAGAAGCCAGTCCCGGGCCCGTAGGAGGGGCAGCGGAGCCCGGGAAACACTAGGGGGGCATTTACCTGCCTGGGAAGCGATCTGGCGACAGCTGAGTCGCCAGAGTCGCTTCTATTGTAAAGCCGACAGTCGGCTTTACAAATGTAAACAGTCCCGGCGGCTAGTCTGTTTAAACAGGCTTGGTGCCAGTGACGTACTGTGGACGTCACTGGCCACTAAGGGGTTAATGGGGTCAATCGGTGATTGTCACTAGCACACCGCAGGAATGTGTTCCAAGAATGTCTTTTTATTGACGCATATTGTCACAGCAAAAGCAACATTTCGGGGCCATGCAGGGTCCCCTTCATCAGGCTTAGTACGATGAGGGGGACCCTGTGTGGGCCCGAAATGCTATTTTCGCTGTGACAATATACGTTACTAAAAATACGTTTGTTGGGACAGATTCCTGCGGTGTGCTGGTGACATCTTGTTTCTCTTCTGATTTGTGCGCCGCCATCCACAGTCATTTCAGCACTCATTTTACAAGTGGCATTCTGGTAAGGAGTGCGACAGGACATGTACCCACTTTCACCTTGGGGAGAGTTACTCTTCTTGTTTCGTCTTTGGGAGAGGAAGTGAGGGGAAATATTTTAAGATGGACCTTGTGACTAAAATGCAAGGTCTGCTTTTTCAGTCGTCGTCCCCAACTACCCCCCACCCCCACCCCAGAATAAACAGTAATAATAAACAGTAACATTTTACAAAAAGACTGTAGAGGGCAGAAAAGAGCTAAATATATTTGCTTTGCCCCCGGCGCCTAGGCGATGTCACATCATACTCCCTCCAGCAAGATCTGTGTAATGTAAAATGTGCCAAATCTAGCAAGGCAGACGCTCATAGCAGTGGCTTGAATGAGGTTCTCATCATAAGGGTGATGTCTCCCTCTGCACACAGAAGCCAGATGAAAAGTCAATATAATGAACGGAATTTATAAAAACTGGAGCACTTGCCCATGGCAACCAATCAGCTTTTCTCTTTAGTCCAGTAAAGCTTTGAAAATGAAATGGAGAAGCTGATTGGTTGCCATGGGCAGCTGCTCCAGTTTGCATGAATTCCCCCCAATATCTTTATTTCCACCTCACAGGTGTTTTTTGTTTTCCGGTGATTATTCTGGCACTTAAAAAGTGGTCCTTAAATGGGGACTTGGTGACAAGGTAGGATTTCCCCATACCTTGGGGAGATTTGCTTTCACTGTCTGTTATGTCTTTGAGACAGGAAGTGAGGTTATATTTCCCCACTGCATCTAATGATTTCCAATGGATCTAATCACACTTTGCGTTTAGATGCTGTTATCTGCTGTCAGTTTATCTGCGTTTTTAAATAATAGAAGTCAGGTGCATCTAGGAATCGATTTGAATTTCTAAACACAACAAAACGCATTTAAACAGTTTTGATGCTATAAAAATCCAATAAAAAGAATTTACAAAAAAAAACCATGTTTTGATGATAGCATCTAAATGCATATGTATATAAACGCAGCTAAATGCATGTAAACACATGCCGTTTTAAAGCGCCTAGAAGCATAAACACAGCATCTAGTCTGACAGATTTTCCTCTGCATTCAAGTGGCAAGTGTGAATGAAGCCTTAGTTGTCACTGGAATAAGTGTGCGCTTTGCAAGATTTCCTCTCAGTTTCTTTTCTGGTGTCAACTGTAACATTTTGTATTTCCTGTTGCTTTCTGTCACTATGACAATGGTTACCACGCCAGATAGAGAGTAGAACAGAGGAAGGCAACCTGGGCACTCCAGCCCCTGCAAAACTCTGACAGCCACAGCTGGACTGATTTACAGTTAGAAGAATGATACATTTTAAAAATGCGTGATGTACAAGGAATCATTTACAACAGGCGGCCACATTGTATTGTGACCGTACTGGAGAATTCCCAGGCTGGAACAAGTGGATGTTTTATTTTGTTGTTTGTTGCCAGTTATGTATTGAAGTCGGTGTTGTCAAGAATTTATGGAAAAGCTTCACAAAGGAAGCGTCTCTGAAGTTCAGACTGAACGCTGGGTAGGGAGTGGTGGAGTTTAATTGTATTTACTGGAGGGCTTTTGTGTCCAGCTACTACAATGGGCAGGTTTCTTATGAACAAGACTTAAACACTTCTCTATTCATTCGGATGTATTGGCAAATAAGTCACTATTTGATTTAAAGTGAAAACTCAGGATTTAAAGGAGAACTATGGAGTTAAGGCTTTTCCCCATAGTTCTCCTTAGGGTGATGGGAGGACACAAACTAGCGTCCTCCCGTCACCCTAAGCTCAGTATACCGCGAGCTACAGCTCGCGGTATACTGAAACGCTGAAGCTGATCCCGAGGATTATGTCTGCATCCACCCAGCTGCGTGACAGTGACAGCTGGCTCTGCCTATCTAGAGGCAGAGCCAGCTGTACCCGCCCCCTCCCTCGTCCGTTCCGCCAGTCAGCGCTCCAGACGCTCCCCTGTCACGGCATTGTGTTCGCTCACTTCCCGATCTACTGAGCCGACCTGTGACAGTCTCATTGTCACAGGTCAGCTAGAACTATGAGGTGAGTGAAAAGCATTCACATCATAGTTCTCCTTTAAACCTTAAAATTGCGTTCAAGTACCGTAACTGTTAAAGGAGAATTATGAGGCGAGTGAAAATCACTCATCCTCATAGTTCTAGCTGACCTGTGACAATGAAACTGTCACAGGTCGGCTCAACAGATCGGGAAGTGAGCAAAACACATACCGTCGCTCGCTCACTTCTCGATCCTGTCCCTGCAGAGAGCAGTGACTGTTACTCACGGCTCCCTGCAGGGATTCCCCCCTCTCCTGTCCGATCCTCCAGCGTTGACTGGCAGAACGGACGCGGAGGGGGCGGGTACCGCTGGCTCTGCCTCTAGATAGGCAGAGCCAGCTGTCACTCACGCAGCTGGGCGGTTCCAGCCAGTATTGTCGGGATCCGTCCCGGCTGCGGCGTCTCAGTATACCGCAAACTGTAGCTCGCGGTACACTGAGCTTTGGGTGATGGGAGGACGCTAGTTTATGTCCTCCCGTGACCCTGAGGAGAACTAAGGGGAAAAGCCCTGACCCCATAGTTCTCCTTTAACAAATATGTATCTTATTTGTGTATCACTCAGCTGTAGATCCTCAAATTGTCTCTGAATTGGCGCTGGCACTGTCCTTTCTTCTGGAGGGGGGCTACTTTGTTCCCCATGGTCCCTGTGTGTGTTATAAAGTAGCCACCGCTCCAAGCTTTCTCCTGTGATGGACTACAATATCTCAGAGATGGTTTGAGACTCTACAGCCGAGTGATACACAAATAAGATACATTTTGTTAATAGAGCACTTTAATGGATTGTAAGGTTTAACTCCTGGGTTTAGTGTCACTTTAAACAAAAATCTTATTTATAATTCTACAGGCTTTGTAGTTTTTTAGTTGTTAAAGGACACCTGTCATAATAGAAACACAGCGGCTACGATTGCTAACCTCTCCTCCGGAATATGCTAGATACCTGGCTGTTATACCAGCTTTAATACTTGGAATCAGTGGTCTGCAACAAGAGATCAGAACCATGGACTTGATCAGCAAACTTGTTCTGGGTTAGTCAGTTAATAAGTACTAAGGGCTGGTTACACCAGCGCATCCTGGGAAAGGCAGAAAGTCTCCTGCACTATTTTATGCAACATGCTTTTTCTGTTGCGTTTGTGCACACGGAAACTTGCACGACTTGCCGGCCGCGTTTGGGGTGCCATTAGAAATGAAAGGCTGCCGTTCTCATAATGTGCAGGTGTAAACCAGGCTTAAAACCAACTTGTTAGCATGACAGCCAAGCATCTAGCATTGTCAAAAGTAGGCCAACACTAGACACCACTGTAATTCAGTCATGACTTGAAACGGAAATGTAACAACCTTGACTCATAACAAAAATGAAAAGTGAGAAACTGATGACACCTTTTAGGCCTAGGTTGGGATCAAGCATGAGGTTCCATGCCTGCATTGCCTTCACACAGATTTGTTACCACAATGATTTGACATGTCTGCTTTGTAGAGGGTCTCCATCACAGAACATTTATCACCACAGACAATAAGTGTAAATACAGCGTAGGTTATATTCATTGTGTCATGCAGTTTTGTAGTTCCAACATACATTTTCTTTTATTTAAATATTCCTACAAAAAAGTAGATTCTGATTAAAGTAATCTCAAACGTGTGAAGCTTTTCTTTGATGCTTGGTGACTAATTGTATAGACTAATATTACATAATGTCTTCTCTTCAGACTTGTTACACTGTGCCAGCTGCTCTCTGCCAAAGGATTAATCCTAAGTAGTTAATGTTTTTATTGGAGAGGTAGCTCATAGCCTGTCTTTGTTATTCATGAAATTAAGGCCCTGTTCACACCAAGCGCGTTCCAGGAGCAGAGCAGTTACAGACCGGAGCAAAACTGCATCCAATGTATTCCAATGCAGGTCCAGAGCAGTTAAAAAAACTGCAGTAGGCCCTATTTTACCTGCTGTGGAACGCATTTAAACGCATCAAAAAGGCATGCAAACGCCATGGAACGCACCGAAAGCCCATTTTAAACTAAAAAAAATATATATATTTTTTTTAACCAAAAACTGCCCGAACGCATCAAAAACGCGGCACAACTCAGAAACTCATGCAGATCTGGTCTGCATTTGGTGGGAAAAAGGCCTAAAAGTAAATTGCATTAGTGTTAGCAGTGGCCAGGCAGCACCGGCCTGTGATTCCTGATGAATAGTGTTTTTCTCCACCAAGAACAACATTATTATCAGTACATCCTAATGGCATATAAATGTTATATACTTCTGTTTTTCAATAAAGTTATTATACACGTAACCATGATCTAATTGGGTTCGGTTGATGTTTAAGGTTTAAAGAAATGTTGCATGCCATGTTTGTTCATTCCATATGAAGACTGTATATAGTTCTGCAACGTGATTGTACTGTAGGCCGGATTCCCATATGCGGTCATGTAGACACTTGGCAGGTAACGGGGCTAATTGGGCTCAGTATACATGCGTATGGTCAAGGAGGGGAAAAGGGGGACAGTGGAGTGCGGGACATTTGTCCAAATATTATTGACAACGTCATAGCCAGGCTGCAGCCCCTATTCATATTGCCGAGAATACTTTGAAAATGGGCACAACTCCACCCCAACAATAAAGGGGTTGCTGTCCTATATCTAAAACCTGTGTGTTTGTAGCCTTAGGGTGCCTATAGATATTAAAGAAAAATTGGTTAAAGCGATTTTGTCATGTTTGTTCTGCCACCGAGCAAAGATTTTTGGAAAATGTCTGTCTCAGTTGCCGATGACTGACCGATATTGGACAAAAATTTGTGACGACAGTTGCAAGTATTATTGTCTGCTTGACCACCTTGCGAACAGTCATCCAGTGTCGTCTGATGTGTGAATGGGTACATTCACTTTTTTTTTTTCATATTCATTTGTCCACATCTGAGTTACCAGAAGGGAAAGGAATCAAGAAGTATGAAACCCTCCATTAACAAAGTACCACTCTATTGAAATACATTTACCATATTCAATAAATTTTTTTTTTTTTTGGAAGCATACTGTTACATAGTTACATAGTATTTGAGGTTGAATAAAGACATTAGTCCATCAAGTCCAACCTATTAGGATCTCATTCTAGGAGTACCTGTACCCCTGTATATTACGGTCCCTTAAGAAATCGTCCAAAAGTTTCTTGAACAATTCCACATTATTTGCTGAAATCACCGCCTGTGGCAGTGAGTTCCAGACCCTAACCGATCTGCCCTCCGCTGGACTTTTTCCAACTCAAGGACATCTTTTCTTAGTACTGGTGACCAGAACTGGACCGCATACTCCAGATGAGGTCGAACCAATGATCTATAAAGTGGCAAAATTATAGACTTGTCCCTGCAATACATCCCCTTTTTAATACAGGACAAGACCCTGCTAGCTTTGTTTACAGCAGCCTGGCACTGCAAGCTACCGTTCAGTTTGTGGTCTACAATGACCCCCAAATCCTTCTCCATTTCTGACTCCCCTAGCGGCATTCCCATAATTGTATAACCCATTTGTTTATTTTTAATTCCAAAGTGCATTACTTTGCATTTATCGACATTAAACCTCATCTGCCACATTAATGCCCACTCCCCTATTTTATCCAGGTCCTCCTGTAATGTCTAGTTTGCATTTTTTGTTACATTCTTTGTAGTTAAGGAACGCCAATGCCGTCCCCTCCGTCTTATATTTTATAAATGTCGCTCTCTTGTGCTTGACGTGTTGTTTTACAGTTTTATTAAACCATATTGGTTTAGTCTTTGATCTTTTATTTTTGCTCCCTAAAGGTATACACTTTGAAGTAGCAGTATGTACTGTGTTTTATAGCAGTATGTACTGTGTTTTGTAGCAGTATGTACTGTGTTTTATAGCAGTATGTACTGTGTTTTGTAGCAGTATGTACTGTGTTTTTGCAGTATGTTACTGCATTTAAATGTTTAAAGTAGGGCTGGTAATGATTACAATTTTTTTAAATCGATTAATTTTGATTAATTATAACGCACATACAGATCCAACTACATTGGCCTATACACATACAGCACAGCAATGAAGTAATAAAATGAACTAGGATCACACTAATCCAGCACGTTAATAATCTCACGTGCCCCACTCAATATGGCCGCCGCTTGAGTGGGGCAACTCAGAATAATAATGTGCTGGATTAGTGTGATCCTAGTTCATTTTAGTACTTTATTGCTGTGCTGTATGTGTATAGGCCAATGCCTTGGCTGGCGCTCGTGCAGAAAGTTTAAAAAAAAAATTAATCGATCATCTTCTTCTTTCCAGTAGTTTTCAGGAGTCCCGCCAGCGTTGGTGCCGATCTCTGATCCAGCGCTGACTGCTGTGTCTTCCTGTCCCACTGAGTCTGTGCAGTGCACGCTGCCATGCTGCCTGCATTGACTTACCCTGTGTCTCTCTTTCTCCCGGCCAAAGATCTCTACTGCGCATGCGCCCGCCCCATCATCCTCTGGGGCCTCCTGAGAATTATTCATATCTTCGGACGGGAGTGAATGGCAGAGACGCAGGTATGTTTTAACCTTTTTTGGTGACTTTAAAAAAATTTTTTTTGCATATATCTACTGCTTGCTAGCAGTAGATATATACACAAAAGGCTTTAATGATACTTTAATGTATCTTTCATAAATTGAACACCACTCTTTTCCTGGTGCATTTCTTTTCTCCAACGTCAGGCTGGGGAGCACACACGCACTCTCTCCCCGATGGTCTGAAGGGCAGGACATATGTCCCATGAGCCTTTGTGTGCTTATTGTAATGCACATGCACGCTCAAATTTCAGGGACTTTCTACTGGTCCCTCCACCCTCCTGGCCATAGTCGGTCACTTGATTCCCACAGAAACGTGAGAAACTCGTTCGATTGCCCCCATTCGCCCAATTCATTGTGTTTTATAATGAACCTTATTGCCCATAAATGTAGATATCATCATACAATCAGAAATGGCATGAGTCAAGTCAAAGTTAGATAGGTGGATCACACTTCTTTTTAAGCTGCAGCTTCCCTGTGGCCCCTGTGCGTGTCTATACACAGAGCAGCTGTACGTACCTGTGTAGTCCCCAGGGGATGTGGGAAGCTACGCTGGGCTTCTATAGAAAATACAAAAATGGAAGTTTGGGTAGTCCATAAAACAAATAGTTCTGTGATAGTGATAAATAGAAAATTGATTGGCAGCAAAGGAAATTGGCATGCAAGCCGTAGTACATAATGTGGTTAAAAGAATGTTACCTTGTTACATAATAATAATGTCAGCCCCTCTTCATAAACCATTATTTTCACCTTCTACTTTACAGGTCATCAACTAGACCTGAAGTTGCCAGCATAGTTCCATTAACCACTGATGACCAGCAATGCTCACATCGTGCTGTGGTACAAGCGCAAGCAAATCATCCTACACGGCTAACCAGTATCATCTTTGCTGAAGATATATGTGAGTAATGTTTGTTTCTTTCTAATGTCAGGTAATTTGTTTTTAATGGACAGCAGTATAGTTTGTCAATGTACTATACATTTATTTTAAAATGACAAAATTATGTTTTTGAGACAGGAACTACAAGCAGTATATGAAAAAAAAATAAAATTCTACAATCCCCCCCCAGCCCCCCTCCCAACAATAAAAAACTAATTGACTCACATGGGAACAGATTCAGAGTGGAGTGGACCCACCAACTTGTGCTATGTATACTCGCTACCTGCAGGCCGCACACCTCAGCAGCAGGGCTCATGGCGTGAACATTAAAGAATATTGGCTAGCCCATCTCCCTGTATCAGCCTATATTGGGCTTGGTCTTTTTCTTGAATCATGTCAAGTAATGGTCTCCAAAATAAACTGCTTTGCTATACACAAAATTTGAGTGCAATTGTATAAATCCTGCGGTATATAGGTTATCATTTGCAGAAGAAAATTGGGGGGGGGAAAACATTGTCAAAGAGATGCATTGGTAGGAAATTTTCTTGCAGTTCTTCACTGCTGTGTTTCTTAAATTGACCATGTTGCTTTGAGGAGGGAGCATTGAGCCGGCTTCCTGGCTAATCCGGAAGCCAGGCACTGCTTAATGACACGTTGGTCGAGAAGCTGGCCAATCAGGAAGCCGGGTAACGCGTCATTACACAGCACTCGGCTTTTTGATTGGCTAGAAAGCTGGGTCCATGATTCCTCGATACCTGGTGATGAGGGAGCAAAGAGGCGGCTTCCCTGCTGATCGGTAAGCCTGGTGGCGAGTCATTACACGCCGCCTGGCTTCCTTAATGGGACTTCTGGTATTCGTTATCGGTGATTACTGGAAAAAAATATTGGTACTCGATACCGAAAAACCGGTATTGGTGCATCCCTATTTTATATAAATATCACAAAGTATTTGATTAATATAGATATTGGTACAATAAGAAAATATTTCGCCTATTTTTGGTAAAATGTCTAAAACTGCACATATTTGTATGAATTACATTATGTTTCCTAGACACTGGACAGGTTCTACGGTGCGATGCGATCGTGGACATAATTAATGAGATTCAAATTGTGTCGACTACAAGAGAACTTTATCTGGAGGACTCCCCACTGGAGCTCAAAATACAAGCTCTAGATTCTGAAGGTGAGAGTTCTTACTTTATATATTAGATCTGCATTGTAAAGGGATCTGTAATGTATATTCATATGCTCCATGTTTTCTTTAAAACTAGGTAACACATTCAGCACTTTAGCTGGGATGGCCTTTGACTGGGCAGTAATGAAAGACACAGAAATGGATGGTTACACCGATTCACATAATACCTTGAGGTAAGAGGAGCACTTCTTCAGGACTAGCATGTTACACCCACTTCCTGTCCAGGCCATTTTCCGTTTTCAGCACTAGGATAGCATGCTGACAATTACTTGGTCATACAATACTGTACAAAATAAATGTTATACATATTTTTTGAAACAGAGCTTTCTTTTGTTTTATTTTAAGAACTTTTGTGATGAATTGGCACTGTTCCTGGATAACAGTTTCTGGTACTTGATGACACCGGTACTAGTTTACACTGAGTGTCGGGTGTGATCAGGAAGCCGCTTTCTTTTCTCACACCGATCAGTGAAAGTGGACTGTTAACTGCCGCCATTGTTTACATTGTGTAATGCTGTGATTGGTCACAGCGATCACATGGTACAGAGCCACTGCCATTGGCTGTGTACCTTCTTTGCTTTCTTAGTGCGGCCCATTGGACAGTGCAGATCACACAATCACAGTGCTATGCTTGTGTGTGCACTATAGGGCACGCACAAGCACATAGAAAAAAAATTATGTTTTAAAATGTCGTCCCATCCTGGGAAAGCTGACCACTCTCTCTTCCATTACAACGAGTAGACAGCAAGTAGTTAAACTACACCTGTTGCTTATGATTGTTATATAACATGATTGAAAAAACTTAAAAGACTCATATTTTGAATTGACTTATTTTATGCTACTTATTCTTTCAGATATATTTATAAAAGGTTTCCTCTCATGGCTGAGATTGACAGTTCAAGGGGCATCTCTGTTTTAGTTCCGGTCTTTCAAGTGACTGTTCAGGCTTCAGGCGTATTCCTTATATAGTTTCATTGAACACATCCTGTGATTTGGACACTGATTAGGGAGGAGAGATTTTCATTTTCTGTGCTCTGTTTGGAGTATTCCCTTAGAGGAACATTAGTTTATAATTTACCAGAGGCAATATAGGTTTCAATCAAATCCTTTTTTTTTTTTGTTATGTGGTTTCTTTTTGCTTCCTCTTTCATATGGCCACTGTTTCCGGTGCAGGGTATACCGTTAAATGTACAGCATAGGATTTTGCTATTGTAACTGTTGCTGTGTAAATATTTTATGTTAAGCATATTCATATGTATTGATGTTCTTCAGACAAGACATTAAAACTGTTCTCAGACTGAAGTGGTTAGCTATTATAGTGCGCAGCTATTCCTTTTTTTCAGAATGCTTGTGATTTGTGTGGTATTATCTGAGGAGGTTCAGGGCATCTTCTATCTGATGCAGACTAGTGATTGACACTGACCAAGCAATGTGTAAGGGCATGACTGCTCTGCCCTGTTATCAAGTCTTTTGTGGTTTTATCTGTTCCTTTTTTGGCAGCACATAAGTACAAACATTTAGACGTTGGTTTGCAAAGAAAAGTATCTTTTTTAACGTGGAAGCAATCCCCCTTGGATTTTTTGTTTTTGTTTTGTTTTTGCCCTAGTGTGCAAGTATACACACCGTAGTTGCACATTACGACACACTTATCTTAAAAATGTGCCCTTTTCCAGCACTGCTGAATTGATCTGTGGTCCCCCGTGCTGTGCCCTGTTGCCGCTGCCATCTCTGCCGCTGACACTTCCAGGTTCTCTAAAGTTTTCTTCGGCATTTTGGGTGGCCACTTATGATATAATTCCTGCGCATGCAAACAGTTACATCCTCCACGGCACCCTGCTGATTCCTGGCATCTTAGCCATGCTGTGAATGGGCAGGTTGTGTACATTGTGCACTGTACAGTGTACACAAAAAAACAAATTGCTGGGGCAGAGAGCAATAATTTTTTTGGGCAGAAGAGCCTGCACGTCTCTTCTGCCACAAATTCTGACCTCCCAGAAGTTTTTATATTTGTTCACCTTTTACTTCTGATTTAAGTTCTAAACAAAGTGCCACTTTTACACCTGCCATGTGTTCTGTATTTACTGTCATTGTTTACTAAAGTAGACTAGGAATGTTTACATCTGCAGGATTTTGAAATTTTTGGAGTCCACCTATGTACCTCCAGCCTATATTACAGAAATGGAGAAGGTTGCAAAGCAAGGTGACACTATTTTAGTGTCTGGACTGAAAACTGGAAGCTCAAAACTCAGAGCGAAAATGCTTGAATCCGTGTATGAGGCAAGTTTTGTTTTTTTCTTTTCAAATTCTTTGACAGCCAAAAACAAGGAATATCCCAGAAAACAGTGTACAGGTTTCAAAGTGTACGTAGTACATGGTCCACAAGAATAGTCATTGCAGTATGCACCAGGAACATAAAAAGCTTAGTCATGTTCAGTACACCAATTACAAAGTGAATGGACTGGCCTAGAGTCTTTGGTGTAATATTTGTGGATTTTGTACTATCACACTGAATAGGTCTCATGCAGATGCAAATTCTCTGTAGAGAGATGTTGTTTGCCAAAGGTCCAGGCGGATGTAATATGTCAGAATGCGGATATTCATTTTAATAAAATGAAACTAAGCATCTGCTTTATTTCATCCCACTAATTTCTAGTCTGGAATGTCTTTGTTGCATTAGCTATCATATCAGCATTTTTAGACATTTGCTTGCTTTTTCTAATGTTCATTAGAAGTACCTTAGTGTTGTGAACTGATAGCCTGTACGTGACAAGTATACTTTTGCACTTGCGTTTTTTAAAATTATACAGTATATTGAGAAAGAGCAAACCGGAAAATCACCCTTATTCCATTAACTTTGTCTATACAGTGTCATTTTATTCTGTGTCATTGTAGAAACAATTCCACTTGTTTCTGGTACAGTAGAGCCTGCATTGAGAATGTACACAAACTGCCATCTAATTAGGCTTTTATAACACTTCAGTTTAGGATACCGTATTCTACAATGTTGATCGTTTTTTTATTTTTGCTCCGTCCACAGAAAGTGAATCCAGCGAAGGTTCGGCTTCTTATTTTAGAGAACATCCTTCTTAATCCTGCATATGATATTTACTTGCTTGTGGGATCTTCTATCAAATACAAAGTGCAAAAAATCAAACAGGGAAAGATCACAGGTAACAATTTCCCCTGCATGGTATGCATGCATATGGTGGCTTCATCTCTAGTTGGTTACTGTATTCCCCTTGTTTTTCCACAGTAAATACATTTAGAAAAATATTTAGATATATTTAGATGAAGCCTGGAATTTTAGCTTTGGCTTTCACATGACATTTCAGGCCATGGTGTACTTATGTTAACTCCACACTCTGTATGCTGATCTAAACTTTTCAATCTGATGATCATCCCTGTACTCTTAACAACAGATAAGAGATGATTAGCCATCTCTAATTTTTATTTTTTTTTAAAGCACAATAATGTTTGCCATAGGGAGCTCTCTGAGGTATAAGCATACTCGTATATTAAAAAGAAAATCTAGTACTCCAAAGAATAATTAATATAATAGTATAGTAATGAGTATAAGAATTCAAAAGTAGAAGTAAATAGGGAAAAAGGTATATAATGAGAATAATGAATGTTCAGCCACCTTGTAGCTCAGTTTAGTTTTAATAGACTTTGGAAACTGTGTTCATATTGGGTTGCAATATAAGGTCACTTGTAGTTAGGGATGTTCAGATACCAAGTACCGTACTCGGTACATGTACAGATACTTTTCCAGCTCCAAGACTAGACTAGAGAAAAATTAAAAAATTAGGAGGCAGCTGTCATTTGTTAAGGAGCTCCTGGGATTTGTACATCCCCATTTTAATGCATTATTTTTTTTTGTTCTAAATATATATGTGATGCACCAATACAATTTTTACAAGTACTGATACTTGTCCAAGTCCTCACAGATACAAGTACTGATACATTTTTGTTTATTGTCATGTGACAGTTTCTCTAAAACAATATCGACTAATGATTTCAGGACAGTGGTGGAGCGCCAGAGCTAGGTCCCAGCTTCAACCGCTGCAACCCTGGTAGTTCTCATGAAAATGCCAAGTATCGGCACTGGTATCTGGACATCCCTACTTGTAGTGAAATATTAATTTTTGAGTTCTCCTTAGAAGTCAGAGTGTACTTGGTGGTAATTAAATCATTTCTAGTTCTCCTATTTGGAAAATTGCTACATATAGAGATGTCTCTCTTGGCAACCAGAGAAGATTTAGCTTGCATTTTCAACCTGTGTTGGGAGAATTAACTAAGGTTCTAGTTTCTGTGGGGCAACTGCTCCTCCTCCTCCTTGCTCAGGTTTCCTAAATTATGCCCAAGGCTATTCCACAAATAATCTCTAAGTGTATCTTGACCATTTTATTTATTTATTTTCTTACGGTTAGCAAAGAGTATGTCTCTTTAACAATCTATCCTGTTATTGCCTCTCTCCAGATTTGTTGATGCCATCAGAACAATACACATTGCAGCTTCAGAACCATTTGCCTGCCACAGGGGGTAATAAATATGATCCGGTGGCTAAGCTGGACCAGAGAAGATCTAAAGTGACAGCCTTGCAGGAGGGTCAAACCGACATTGTGCTTCTCCATAAGAATATCCTTACAAGATTGTTGGTTTATATGCACGTGTCTCTAAAATAATATGGTGATTTTTATGTCAAGTTTAGATGAATGATACAGAATAGCACTGCACTTCAGCAGTAAGCAGTAGCCGCTTTGTGTTCCATATAAAGCAGTGTCTGATTGTGGTTGGTTACAAGCAGTGCGTGTCTGTAGAAACAATATATTGCATTGTCTGGCACTTGGGTTGCACACTTCCCACTCCTAACAGAAAAATAGTCCAGTGTGAATTTGCTGGCAAGGTCTTGCCTTCCCAGCTGCAAGAAAATCCTCTAAGTATTTACAAGAGAGCTGATCATTTTCATGGCGTGACTCCAATGACTACAATGCAGAACAAACATGACAGAGCTTCTCTGGCCAGATATTCCTTCTTAGTAAAGTACTGTAGCTGTGAAAGCAGAAATGTGTAATTTTTTTTTTGGGGGGGGTTATACTCCATGGTCACAAGCTAACTAGTACAGTCTTTTGTCTTACTTTGTTCATGAGCTAATGTATTTGGTACTCTCTAGCCTGACTTTCAACATAAAGATCCTTAATGATTGTTTTTAAATATCCGCATGCAAGGTGCTTCTCGATTACCGAATGGGACCATATTTGTGGTGGAACCTGGATATTTAGGTATTTTTTTTGTTCTGTCTCTAAAGTTTTAATGTCAAACATCAGTGCTCAACAGGAATTCTTCAAGTACATTAGCCAAAGCCAGTCTGTCAGTAATGTTCTTTCATTGTTGCATTAAATAATGAAAAGTGGGATCTAGTCACTAAGTTTTAGGGCTAGTTCACACCGGATGCAGTTGTGATGCAGTCTGTTCAGTTTGGCAACTGCCTCCAAAATGCATCACAATGCTATCCTATAAGATTTCTCTGTTCACACCAGTGCAGTCTGTTCCGATGCAGTCAGAAAAAATATCGCTTGCCGATTTCTAGCTGCATCGGATCGCAATGGAATACATAAAAAAATGCATGCAAACGCACTGTAACACCACTAAAATCCCATTTTATGCAAAAACCGCGTCAAAACGCATCACATTGCAGCTGCGCAGGCACACGCAGTTCTGGTTTGAACTAGCCCACACGCAGTTCTGGTTTGAATATAGTGCATTGCTATATTTAAAGTGTATGTCAAGCTAAACCCCTTCTTTTTTTTATTTTTATGTGAATTGGATAACCCCTGTTGTTTGTTTTCCCCTGCTCTCTGTGACTTTTAGTGATTCCCCCCCTCACTTTGTCTGCTGAAAGTGTTACCACTGGGGTAGAAAGTGAGGGAAAATCACCCTAATGGATCCCCAGATAGCAGTAAAAAATTGCAGTGGTTCTAACCCTTCCTAACCCTATCCAAAAAAAGGTTTCAGCTGGATGTGCACTTTAAAAGGCTAAGTTTAGTTTGTTCTAGCACAGAGCATAGCTTAGTTTAAGGTTGAACTCCAGGATAAGTAAATATTATCTAAATGCAAGAAGCATGTCTATTCTACTACTTCTACTTGAATCTTAATATACTTTCTGTATATCTCTGATCAGTTCTGTGCAGTCACAGTGTTTCTCCTAATAATGAACCCATCACCCATCCATGTGCAAGATGATTTGGCCTAGTATTCGCCCCCTTTTGTAGTTTCTTATAGGTAGTCTGTTGTGGTTGGGACCTGCTGGGTCCCTCCGGCAGCTCTGCTCTCTGCGCAGACTATGTACAGCACAGTAGTAATGTCACTGCCATTTTACAAGGCAATATATGGGTTTTAAAAGACATTTGGTGCTTTCCAAGTGGATTTCATCCTGTGTGGCTAATGGTTAATATAGTTGAAGTAAAGCTTTTGTGCCTGGACTTCAGCTTTAAATGATGCACACCTGCAATCTAGTATACACCCCTCTGTTTTCTTTTGACAGCTTTTAATGTGGTCCATTGCTGGACAGTCCTCTGTGTAGTAACAGTGGGGGTGAACCTTGTTTTCCCATGTCCCCCTATTTTGCAGACACCAAAATTATCTAGTTCAGAAACCACTTGAAGGGCTGTAGAGGCATAGTTGCATTATGGCTCATCTAACCTAATGGGCCCTATGGTATCTGAATAAAATCACTCTATTGATATATGAGCAGATGTATGAGCGTGCGATTGTTAGATAGAAAGGGTAGGAGAGAGGTCCTATGTTACTAAATGCTGTGTTGAAAAATGATTATACAAGTTATAGAAGGCTGGTTCATACTTCAGTGTGTCTCCGCCTCCACTAAATTTAAACTATGCAGTAGCAAATTTGGAGCAGAAGGCAAGTTCATGCTAAATGTACATGTAATTCATAGGTTCCACCTTTGTTATTGCTTACTGCTTGTGTACCTGGAGAGCTTTCAAAGGCTTGTTTACACTGCATATATTTTATTGATTATTATAGGATTTACTGTATATCCTGGAAATCAATGGGTTCTTGAAACTGGAAGATACTATGAAATAACCATTGATGTGTATGACAAGTCCAGCAACAAGGTCTATTTATCTGATGTGAGTATACAAATGCTTTCCTTTTTGTCCGTTGAGGGGCACGGAAGTCTTATACATAGTGGTTATACTGGATTGGACATTGACAAACAAACTGTAGGTCAGCTCAGGATAACCCTACCCGCATACCTCAGATTTTTGCTTGCGTCCTAGGACTTGCTAGCACCTTTTTTCCTTTTTATTTTTTTCTTCATTCAAGACTCTTCTCTACTAAATTTATTTTCATTTGCAGCTTTCCCAGGCGGTCTTCCTCATTCTGATTAGAGTACTTTGTGGGCTCCACAAGGCGCTTTTAAAATTTTGGTCTGGCAAAAATTAGCTGCAGAGTACTTGTTAGGTCCAGAGCCATTGCCTCACTGCTTTCCCTGCCTCTAATGGCTTTTTTAATGAGTAGGCTGAGTAGCAACAGCTACCTCAATTACTTAGGTCTCTGTGTACCTTTTATTTCCTGTTCCCCTGCTTTTGCTTCAGCGGCAGGTAAACACCATGGGACAAAGTGTGTGACGTCATCTTTTAGGTGATGTGTCCTCAGTGCTTTGCGCACTCTTTCCCGCCATACAGCATTAAGAAAGTATCGCTCCACTGCTGCTCCTGCTTTTAAAAGACCTTATATGTTGCTTCACCGTGACACGGTCACAACATGTTTGATTGTAGACGAGGAGGGATGTGGGGGGGGGACAATCCCACTGTATAGGGTGCCCCTGGCTCACATTATACTAACAGTTCTATGGCTTGCAATAGAGGAGAAAACCGTCTAAGAGCCCAACCTATAAGCAGTTGTAAGCTTTTTCTAGAGCTCTGGTCTTGCTAACGGTACCTGCTCTGTATGCATTCTAGCTGTGACCTTTTACTTTGTCAGGCTATGTCTGACTGGTCAAAACACCTTCAAAGATTTCTAACCACTGCCAGAGTTGATCCATTACTTATTGATTAAGTGGAGCAGATAGATGGAGAGCAAAGTTTTCAATTTAACTTTTTTTTTTTTTCAAAATTCTTTATTTATCAAAGACAAAACAGAGGTACATGAAGGAATGGCAAAGAAGATAACATGAGGCTATAAGTGTACAAAATTCCACATACGATATGACTCGTACATAACAGTAGATGGCCAAAGTTATGCATACGATATTCAATTAACACGCTAAAAACTTATTGTCCAAGGACAGACAGAATGGAAGGAGGATATGAAGAATCAGATATCCAAAGGGGAGAAAGATCAAAAGAGAAAAAAAATACAAGGAAGGAGGAGAAAAAAAAGTTAATCCAACTCAACCATTCCTCAGACCCTTCCACAGATTGAGAGGAGGACTGTAGGAAGTTACTTAGTATCAAGAAGAGCCTTGTAATCAGAGGAGAAGGTAAATTCCAGCCAATAGAACCACGTATTCCGGAAGGGTTCGCCTTGGTTTTTAAGAGCCGCAGTTAAATCTTCCATATCACATAACTCCTGTACTTTCCTGCACCATAAAGATAGAAAGGGAGGAGAAGTTTGTTTCCTACAAAGTGGGATACCACATCTTGCCACGTTTATCGAATGAACCAAGAATGACGTTTCGATAGAGGATTTAAGTGGAGCAGGTATGCAGCTGTGTCATCACCCAGATCAACAGCCGCCAATTTCTAAGACCAAGAACGCACCCATGACCAAAACTGTTGAAGAACGGGTCACTCCGAGAAGATAAGAAGCAAGGTACCCTGTGAACAGTTACATCTCCAGCAAAAGGGAAAAGACTGAAAGGATCCTGTGGAGAGTTGTAGGGACTCTATACCATCTAGAGAGAATTTTGAAGCCTGATTCCTGAATCTTGCATGCCATGGAAGACTTATGGGCAGAGTAAAGGATCCGGTCTCGGTAAAGGAAACTCCCAGGTGCCTTTTTACATTTTCTCAGGTAGTCCGGAGTGTCCGCAGGAGAAAATGGATTCACTATAGTAAATGCAAGGGAAAGGCCATGACATACGGGTGAAGGTTACATTCAATGTAACATTTTGTAAGAAACCTCCTGTATCATTTCTCACCTGTTTCCCGTGTCAGTTCAAATGCAAAGGGCACTTTACCTGAAGTGCTGGACAGCAGAACACTTGTGTAAAAAGTATTTGATCTGAATGGCCTTTGAGGGACAGTTCTTCCTTAGATTAGCTCTTGACAACATCATTAAAGATGCTACTGGTGGCAAGAGCACCCATCTTCCCCTGCGGAAGAAACCCAAGGAACAGCCTGGTAACTTTTCTCCCTCCTTCTTTGTTAAGCAACATCTCTTTCACTTCTCTTCCTTTGTCTTTGCATTGAGACTCCTCAAGCTTGGCTCCCCGTCCACCACCAAGGTCTGGCACTCAAAGCCTGCCAAATCCTTAACAGGCCTTCCTCTTCATGAACGTGTACCCCCACTTTCCAGAGTTGGGACATTGTTATCTTTTGTGGACACTTGGCTAGCTTGCATCTCAGATTCTTGGGTGTGGGAGATGGAAATTGGAGGGCTACAAGCAGGGGTTTCGCTCTCTCTGCCCCTTCTTCAAACACCTTACTGCCTCACCACACAGATTAGCAGATCTCCATCTGGATCAAGTGGTGGTGTGGATGTTTATGTTCTCCTCTCACTGACCGACAGGTGTTCTGTCTTTGTCAATGGCCAGGGTTGGATTTCACCGGGTGTGAGATCTTGTCCTGGCAGCCTATTACATCTCAGTCATTTGTTTGAGTGGAATTTTACTAGTTTTATTTGTGCTTTTTGACATTAAGCATCTGTTTCCCAGATTTGCTAGATTGACACCTGCAGGGTTATTTACAAAAGGGGGAAGAGTTTGGAGAAGTGAACATTCTAGGACAACATAGCTGAACTGGAAAGTGAGCTGAATTGGAGAATCTTTCCAAATCAGCTATTTTGTCCTAGATTGTTCACTTCTCCTGCCTTCTCCAAACTTACCACCCCTTTGTGAATAGCCCTGCTGGTCTGTTTGTGCATTCTCTAAGTTCTATCAGGTGGATGTTGTGGTCTCATCTAATGCCATCTTTGAACTTGAGTCCTTAATGTGGATCTTTAAACTCCAGGCAGTTCCCAGTTTTTTATTTTATCTTGGGCCCATTTGTGATTGTTTGCTGTGTTGTTTACCCCTCAGTTGGATTGCTTTTGGATATGCTAATGGTTTAGGACTTCTGTTGTCCTCCAATAACCGATAAAGAAAATGGCATTTTTACACTCGCTGTAAAATTCTTTTCTTGGAGTCCATTGAGGGAGAAAGGTTCGAGCCCTCTGAATATCGTCATCCTCTTGATACTGCTTTGCTTCAAAAATGAAGTATATGCTGGTAGTGGGAGTGGTTATTCTGGACTGGCCTACATTGCTTTAGTTTGCCAGTGTCCAATCCTCAGTAGGTCGCAGTATAACCCAAAGGTCTAAGGCTTCCTTTGTCGCTCAGTGCTTGCTAATAAAAGGATTGTTATAAAAATCCTACTTAACCTTATGTCATCCCAATTGTGTATGCTTCCTTTAAAAATTAATTTACAGCCACTTGGATTTTTTCTGTAGAAACCTCATCAAACAACTTAGATTTGCCCTCTTGTGCTAATGACACAAGAAATGTACTTAAAAAATTAGATTAGTGGGGGGCTAACTGGAAGTTATGATAATCACAGCTTGCTTCAACTTTGATCTTTGTTCATAATGTTTATGGTCTATAAATAAATATATTTATTTTCAGAATATACGCATTGAAGCCAAAATACCAAAGGAATACTTTGAGGTTCTGGAAAGTTCGCTGAATGGGTCGTACCATCACGTGAAGGCCTTGAAAAGTGGTCAGACAGTAATTGACGCCGCTTTGACATGTATGGTAGATGAAGTAAGTGTGACTAGTTGCCTGTCCCAGTGTTTGTTTTTTAAAGAGAATTTTAGGGAAGATTAGTATGTATTAACACTGATAGGACAACTATTGTAATTTTTGTATGCTAAAAGTAACAGGTAATGGCTCCATGTGTTGTTTAAAGGGATATTTTTGAATGAGGGAACCCCCTGTGTTTCTACAGGCAGTAAGGGGATGTCATTTTTTTCTATGAAAATCCTTTTGTGTTCTGGTGTAGCCTCCTAATTAAATAAATAATGAAGATCATGTATGATATTGTCTGAAAGATCTAGGTGATCACAGTACTCAGCCACATTTTTTTTTCTAGCTTGCTATTGAAAACATAAAATGGAGAATTTGTTTTTAACTATTTTCCTTCTGGGTAAAATAACGCACAAGTTACCTAAAAGTGGTAGCAGGAAGGAAAAGAACCCAGAAAAAATAGGGGAAAATATGAGACGCACTACCTAAGAGAATCAAAATAAAGAAGTCAGAAATAATTATGCTTTATTCTAAAAAAACCTTCAGGTTTTTTTTGTTATGAAATGGAGGCCCACAATTATAGAAATCCTGCATTAGTTTGGTTTAAAAATGTTCAATTCCTCATTCTCTAGTGGGTCCCCGCATCACTTTCCCTCCCGCCCCCTGCACAGGTGCCTCCAGCTAGCCGGCTGTGCCCGCAAGTAGCGATTTGTGTCCATAGACACACACAGCTTGCAGCTGGCCATGCCCCCTCTCCCACAGTCATACTTTGACAGCAGAAGGAGCCTATGGCTCCTGCCCTCCTTATCCTCCCCTAGAACCGGGAAGTTTGGGGAACTAGCGGCAGTGACTGCAGTGTTCACAGGTAAGTGTGGGGGGGACGAGTGATAGAAAAAGGTACTGGATGTTTTTTACCCTAATGCAGAGAATGCATTAATCTAAAAAACGCCCAGCTATTTTTTACTACTTTATTTATTGGCCTTGCTCAGCCGAACAATAATAAACTGTTGGAAACTAGAATATAAGATGGATTTTCACTTGGATGTAATCAAAGATCTAATTGTGATAATATGGTAATCTGGGCAATGATGCATAAAGGGTAGCAATCTTGATAACCTGTGCTTCAAGGTTTGCCTAATTCCTCTGTCATGACTTTCCTGAAACTAAAAGGTGAAGGTCAGTGTGGGTGAGTAGAGGGACATTGCCACAATATGTAAGTTCAGGTATGTGGATGTGAATCTTTTAAGACATCATGTACGATTTTATAAGTATATTTCTGTTGTCAGGATTTCTATTGATTCCATCATCTTTTTCTTGTGTTCTGCATGTGATTTGTTTTACAATCTGTAGATTGTTCATTTTAAAGGAGAACTATAAGGGGAGTGAATTACACTCACCCCCATAGTTCGAGCTGACGTGTGACACTGAAACGGTCACACGTCGGCTCTATTGATCGGGAAGTAAGCAAAAACATACAGTTGCTCGCTCACTTTCTGATCATCTCCCTGCAAAGAGCGGTGACTCAGTCTCCGTTCCCCACAAGGATTCCTCCCCTCTCTTATCCTCCAGTAGAGCAATGGACAGGGGAGGGGTCGGCCACAGCTGCTCTGCCTCGAGATGGGCAGAGCCCGCTATCAATCAGCCAGCGGGGTCTCTCTCGACAGTATTGTCAGGATCTGTCCCGGCTGCGGCGCTCTCAGGATATAGCGGGCAATAGCAAAAGAATAAAAAGACGGCAATTATCTAGGAGTTTGTGTTTGTAGATTGTCATTACTAAACATTTCTAAATGTCTTTGTTTTTATCTTGAAGATGGGTAAAATTCCTCTTTATCATTGTATTGACGGACACAAACCGTGTCATTTTATGTCTTTTTTATACCTGCCTGGAGTGCAGCTTTAAAATGACAACATTGTGAAACTGGCAAAGTCCTGCAATGACATAGTTAAAGCCTGATGTAAAATGCCGATTCTGTATTTTTTGGCTGCACGTTCTCATCACTTGCCTTGGAAGTGACTTTTCTCATCAAGGCTAAACTTGAGTATGTTGCAGTTCTTGGACGAAAACCAAACGCAACATTTCTGTTTTAGGTACAACAAAGTGTTTGGTTAGAGCATGACATTATAATTATTACTTTTTTTTTTTGCAGGATGGAGGTGTTCATGTGCTGGCAAATCCAGTGAGGAACCAGCAAGAGGTGGAAATCTATACCCCGATTACAATTTCACCCAAAATTCTTACTTTTCCCTGGCAGCCTAAACCGGGAGCTTATCAGTACATAATACAGGTAATATAAGTGCTCCTCAGCAACGTTGCATCAGTGATTTTGTTTCTGTAGCAAAAGATTCATGTTACATTTAGTCGAATTATGTAGACTACCGGTATGTTGAAAAAAAAAAACAAGATTTGGGGAAAAAAGGCCTCTGATTCTAGAGACTTTTCAGTCAGGGAAGACCTTTTGTAATCGGTAAGGAAAGTATTTCATTAGATCTACTGTTCTAACTAATCTGAGCTGTGATTACACCTATGATTGTGCTTTCAAGGTACAAGGTGGAAGTGGAAATTTTACCTGGTCCTCCTCAAATAATGCTGTGGCTACAGTAACTGTCAAAGGGTTGATGACAACTGGAGATGACATTGGTGTTAGTGTTATACGGGCCCGTGATGTGCAAAATTCTTTACATTTTGGCGAGATGAAGGTGAGTCACAGATTACTTTACATCCCTTTTCAGCTAACTCTGTTCTCTTTAAGGGTACATGTTGAAGTTTGATAGTCATTTTCCACACATGCTTTGTGTATTTATATAATATTTGCATATCCCAGAGTTCAGCTTTAAAGATTGGCCTGAACTTTCTATGTATTTTCTGATGCATAGTGGCAAAAATCGGTGTCGTTTTCACGAGGGTCAAGATGATCGCAAGATGTAGGTGAAATAAAAAAAATATTTAACAACTGTTTTCTTACATTTAACATTAATAGGTTACATAGTGGTTGGAACTTAGCTCATCAGTAGACACCTCCAGACCATTGTTCTTATGAGACTAGTCAGCTGCATTAATTGGATTTTTAGCGCTGTTTGTTATTGTTCCCCCCACAAAAAAGATTGCACCTCAGATACAGTATGTTCTTACTACATGAAAATAACCTTAACCCCTTCATGACTGAGCTTGTTTTTCGTTTCTGTTTGTAAATGACTGACGCACTTTTTACATTTTTGCTGTGCAAAAGTTTTGATTTATAGTATTTTTTACAAAACCAGCACAGCTAAAAAAAAATACAATAAATACATTCATTTATTTGTTCTTTATTTGGAAAAACCTCACATCCCTAGGATTTTAGAATGTTTGTTTCTCTACTTTTGGCCTAAAACCTTACATATTCTTTTTTTTTTTCTCTAAAAGCGGTCACTTGGCATACAATGTCACCGTCACCAAGTGTCACACTTAGGCCCGGTTCACACCTGGGCGTTTTGTAGTGCGTTCGTACGCTCTGCAAAACGCTCAAACACCGAAATCCCATTGTTTCCTATGGGCATGGTTCACACCTGGGCGTATTTCAGGCCGTATGAACGCTCTACAAAAAGGCCAACGCCCAAAGAAGTACAGGAGCTTCTTTGGGGCGTTTTTGTCGCACATTCGATACGCCTAGGTGTGAACCCAGCCTTAGTGACAGCGACATACTTTGAACATCGCTGTCATGAGGGGGGGGGTTAAAAAAATTAACCCCTTAGGGGGATAGCGTTGCATGACAGAATAAACATCAGTCAAAGTACCGCAGCGCTGAATACTGAAAAATGGCCTGGCCAGGAAGGGGGTGAAACACTATGGCCTTCAAGTGGTTAAAAAAAATGTAATTATATCAATCAGTCATTGTGAATTAATCTCACTATTACTGCTCGATAAATTAATCAATTAATTTTTGTTTATTAGGCGGCTTCAAACTTCAGATCAGCCAATAATAACCTTAGTGACACTGATCCTGCAGCCGTTCAGGATCAGCTGTGACTAAAGGATTTCTGATCGTTACAACAACGATCAGAAAACTGAAACATTCTTTCAGGGATAGAAACATGATGTTTCTATTCTTGAAAGTAGAAAAAAAAAGCCGGTTTATACATGCATGTAGTAAAGATAATTATGTGGCATGATCCTACTGTTTATCTTATGCCTAGGCCAGCTAAAGGAAAACCTGGCATCAGAACAGTTCCAATGCTAGCTGCCTTCTGACAATTCCTGGCTGCTTTTTGCTTTAATAATTTGGGGGAAAATGTCACTCTTGCTTCTACTCTCCCTGACCCACCTCTACTCACCTTCGAGGTGAGGGGATGACATTGTTAAAACACTGTGTAAGCTCGGACATCATCCAATACCAAGCTTAATTGGGTATTTTGTGGTACTTGTGATGAAGGAGAGAGTGTCGAGTGAGCACTGTGAAGGTGAGTATCTCATTGAGGTGTTGCCTAGTAAGTGGCTCGGTTAGGAAAAGTGAGACAGTCACTTTAAAATCAAAGCCAGAAAATCGGTTTGACAGCCTGCTGCTTTCAGCAATAACAGCCCTCATATTTTTCATTTTTTTATGGAATATATTTTAATTTGTAGGTGTTTGTCATCGAGCCCACTGGCATGGAATTCACTCCTTGTCCAGTTGAAGCCCGTATAGGAAACAGCTTGGAGCTTCCTCTGAGGATTTTCGGCCTCCTCAATGGTGATAATGAGGTAGTTTCATTGAGTGACTGCTCGCACTTTGACTTGTCGGTGGAAATGGAGACTCCTGGAATATTCAACATCCTGCCAGGTATGTCCTGTCCTGAATAACATAGTCATGAAATATATTGTATTACAATAACTGTGCCTATGTAATGGCTTTTGGGGCCCTTCATTTAGTGGCCGTTACATACATGTGTCACTAGCAAGGTCGTAGCACAGGCCTCAGCCTGTCAGACTAGAGATATGGAAGCTGTATTTGAAGGGCCACGCACCAGGGTTATCACCTGTATACTTGCTTTACTATTTAATGTGTCACTGATCCAGAACAAGGATAAAGATGATAGCCTTGGAGTCTGCCCTTTAGAAAAGTAGTCGGCATTGCCAGCTTCCTTATGTCTTCCCAATGGGTTCCTTTTAAAACTCTTATTTTGTTCATACTTTTACACAATCAGTGTTATTGCTCATGCTACTGATATTTACATACTCCTCTCATTGCTTTTCTAGGTAGACTCAAGCCAAGTGTTGATTTTTGTAGTGGTATTACTGTACAAGGACTGACTGCTGGGTACTCAACTGTATTTGTCAGCTACACTCATGGCCATATATATCTAAAAGCCAAGATCGTAATTGCTGCATATCTACCTCTAAAGGTAAGTTTGAAACCTATAATTATAATTCTTAAAATGAAACAAAAAAAAAATGAAACTATTCTGTGTAGCCTATTCTTTATAAGCTGCCATTTTAGGTTAAAGAAGACTCAAAAGCGATATATGGCAGTACCATTATTATAAACCTGTTCAGCCTTGACAAGTTAATTATATTTATACATTAAAAAAAACCAACATAATCTAAAGCTCGTTTATGAATCCAAGTTAGGTTTTGTTTTTAGTAGTCCGTAGCACCTAATGATAAACTGGCTGTAAGTGTTTGACATTCACTAAGGTTGTAGATATTTATAAAGCAGAGTTCGACCTTGTGTCTTTTAGTTTTTAGTAATGGAATATGCTGAGATATATTTAGAGTTGTAGTGACAGCACCAGGTGATATATTCGTCCTATTCTAGTAGGTACATATGTAAATTGCTCAGCTGACATTCACTCCATTCACATTTTAAAGAAACTAAGTGAGAATTCTTGTAATATGCAGAACAAGGAACATGCGGTAGTACTTTACTCAGAGTTGTAAGCTTTGAAGCAGAGAACTTCATTTGAAGCATATTCGTAAAATCCTTTTGAGTTTGTCCTGTTATATTTGTTTGTTTTTTTTCTTTAAATCTCACAATGTCTAAATCAATGCTGCACAAAATAATGCTTACCTGCCCTCCTTAGCCCACCTGAACTAATTTACACTTAAACCCCACCACCCCAGCTGCTTCCTTACCTCACAGCTTCTGGAGTGCTCACCACGATATGTAAATGTAATACAAATGTAATGAGCCGTTAGAGGATTGTATAGGGTCAAATTCCGAGAGTCTCCAGTTTTGGAGGGGTTCTGACTTTTCAGACTAATAAGCCTCATGTGATAGCATAGTGCAGGTGGTAGGTGACCCCTGATGTCACCTCTGTGCTTGATGAGCTTCTTCCCCAGTCAAAGCTGCTAAGGTTTTGACAGTTCTGAACCTGGAAGTGCTCAGAGACGAGCTTGTCTGGGTTCTGGCTACCCAGGGGAGTGTAGCAAACATGTTCGCTGGTCCCTCTCTACTCTACAGCCGACCTCATACATTCTATACAAAAGCTTTCAGCTGGAACTGAAAAGGTAAACCGATTAACAACTGCTACAGCGGCCAGGACTCTGTATTGATGCCGTCACTACCACTGACATGATCGCTACGGCGGAAGGAGCAAAAGGGTTAAGTAACAGATTTATAGACTTAGGAGTAAATATTAAATAAGTACAAAATAAACGTAATGAAGAGTATGCTTTGCATATGATATACATGGTACCTGTACTTTTGTAAATTTAAAATGATGTAACATTTTTCTTACTTCGCAGACTGTTGATCCTAAGGCAGTAGCCTTAGTTACCTTGGGCTCCTCAAAAGACATTTTATTTGAGGGTGGCCCCAAACCATGGGTACTCGAACCTCTGAAATTCTTCAGGAATTTATCTACAGAAGACAACGAAGGCACTGGCCTGTTCCATCTTGATCCCCCTTCATCTCGCAATCATTTCCAGCATTGGGTTAGAGCAGTTTGCAGGGACCTTGGTGAACAGGTATGTGTGGAACAATATTTTTTTTGAGCACCATGCCTTGGGCTTTTCAAATAGTATACAGTTTGACAGAATGCACAAGAACTGTATCCAAAAGAGCCAAGGCCTACTTTCTGACTTGACAAGTGTTGTAATACCTTCTTTTTGGTATTAAGCCTGACATGTTCAGTAAAACTAGTTTTTTTCCATTGTTGTTATATCTAGGGAACTATAATTACTACCTCTGTATAGCAATTTAAAAAATATGTATTACAAAGAATTACATGATTTTTTTTCTTTTCCACTAGGTCATTGCCTTGTCTGTAGGGAATCATCCCACAGAAACAAACCTGTTTCCAGCAGTAGAGAATGTTGAAGTGAAGCTGGCCTGCTCCCTTCTCTCACGATTCACTGTTACTCCTGTATATAAACATTCCCATAAGGATCTTGTCTGTCCTCTGATGCAGCAAAACAAACAAGTGGTAAGCATTTTCTTTGCTGTTCTGTATTTTAGTGTTAAATGTGAAAAGTAATTTATGAAATATTTGCAGCTTTCCTGACAGGCAAAATAAAAACACCCCTCATAATTACATTCGGATCATATCCCTTTATTTCTTATGTCATTGTGCTTCATAGCAAATCTCTGGGATTTTAGCCCTCTTCTCAGGAGTATGATCAGTAAAGCTACCTACACATGTCAGATAGCAGTTAAATCTGCAGAAGTACCTTTCTATTAAAGTGCATCTATGCCCAGACTGTGGACGATGAAATTTGTTTTAGAAGAGAACTATGGGGTAAGTGTTTTTCCCCATAGTTCTCTCAAGGGTCACGGGAGGACATATACTAACCTCCTCCTGTGACCCAAAGCTCAGCCTATCGCGGGCTACAGCTCGTGGTATACTGAGACCACCGCAGCCGAGACGGATCCCGACAATGCTGCCGATCCACCCAGCTGCGTGAATGACAGCTGGCTCTGCCTACCTAGAGGCAGAGCCAGCTGTACTCTCCCCCTTCCCCTGTCCGTTCCTCCAGTCAATGCTGGAGGATTGGAGCCAGGAGGGGGGGGGAATCCTGCAGGGAGCCGTGACTGACAGTCACTGCTCTCTGCAGGGAGATGATCGATAAGTGATCGAGCAATGGTATGCGTTCGCTCACTTCCCGATCTATTGAGCTGACATGTGACCGTTTCATTGTTGCACGTCGGCTCGAACTATGAGGATGAGTGATTTCTCACTCCATAGTTCTCCTTTTAAGCATCACTGACCAGTCTACCTGCTTCTACTGTGTAGTAAGTAGTTCTCAAAATTACAACACTGACTTCAAAGATGGGTTTCAGTCTGTTTCTGAAAGCTAAGCAATGCCTGCTGTGTGTTTACAATAGAAGACTGGGAAGCAGCCAAGATTCTGCTCTCCATAAAAAAATCAAAGGAGATATGACTTAAGTAGCTCTTTTGAGAATTTTGAAGATGAATTTCTCCACAATTCCTATACCTACAAATGCCTTGTTTTAAAGGTCTATTGATGCTTGTTCAGAATATGCAATTACACTATTGTCTAGTCTGGGAATAGGTTCACTTTACGATATTCAATTTACGTTTTTCTAAAAGTAGGCTAAAACAGTAAATGTAGCCTAAAAATGTAGCCTAATATATCTATTTTTATTCACACACACACCTATTGCCTTTTTACCAACCAATTGTGTGGGGAATTGGAGAATTATCTGGGTACATTTTGTATCTCCTCGGTATATTTATCTTCAAAGTTTTGTCAAAATGATGTCTTGTTCAGTATTTACACCTCATAGTCTAGTGCAATGCATGTGTTCATTGTAGTGCTTATCCGGAACTACTAGATCCTCTTATTGCTATAGATCAGAAACCAGTGTACTGGAATCTTACATGTCAATCAAATATAACTAATTGTCCTGTTTTTAGATTCCAGTTTCCAACTACCAAAACCAGTTAGTACAGTTATCGGCTTATGACCGTCATGGAACAAAGTTTGATAATTTCAGCTCCTTGGCCATTGATTGGGACTCTTCCAATATTCAGTTGGCCAGTTTTGCTGCTGCCAAGCCCATGACATACATTGAGAAGGAAGATGCTAATGGTCAACGGAAACGTCATGGTATGTGTAAATGCTTATGTGGGCATATGCTGAGTTTTGTCTGCTTGTGAACATTTATATTAGGAACAATGTCTCTTTGGAGCTGCCCTGGACACCCTTATCAAGGATGTCATTGGGGGTAAGAGTACTCGCCTGTCCCGACAGATGAATCCTAGGCTCTCCCCAAGAACATTTATTTTTTCTTTTGGTAGACTGAGAATTTTAATATATGTGGGCATTTCGAGAACATCAGGTGGGGAGATTGGAGGTGGCTTGCAAGGCTCCTGGTATGCCAAGCTGCCCTTGATCCGTTTATTTGTTTCAATTGGCTGCCCTTTTCAGAGTGTATGGTGTACTATATAGGGGAAGGTTAGTATTTTCGGTGCACAAAAGCCCGAAAATACTCTTTAAACCAGAATACAATAGTAATTGACAAAAGTGCATTACAAGCAGCTGAGCAAATATGACAGCAGGTTCATGTTGGGTGTCAACAAGATTACAGATATTACAGTGTATCAGAAGATTTTAAACCAGTAAGAAAAAGTACTTTCATGACAAAACTTGGACCTGTCAACAGGTTCGTTGGGCCCTGCAAAAATTTTATGAGGCTTGCCTCACTCTATAACCGTTGTTGCTGCATTGTACATTCTTACAAGTATAAGTAGTACAATTTAGAAATAAATATCTATGTTTATTAGGTCTTAACACAATTCATGTGCATCAAGTATCGGGAACGACGGTCATTACTGCTACAGCTAACAGTTACCAGGAGTCTCATCTAAAAGCAGCAAAAGTGAAGACCCCGGTAAGTGGAGAAAATACTGTGGTTTCCCTCCTTTAATTCATAATCTCCTTATCTCAAAGGGTGGCTAGAAAAAATGGCCTCTGAAGTTTTCCTTAGATGGTCAACTCCCCATTCCCAGCCTACTAATTGGAAGATAAAGGAGCAGCGGCACACTGATGAGATCATCTCTGTGATCCCCTCTTGCTTTGTGTCACATACTCTGATTAGGTCACATTGATGGCTCTCCCAATTTGTCCTGGTTGTGAGAAATTATGGAAAGCCTATATAAATGTAGATATTGGGTGCTAACAGTATTAAAAACTATGTTTTTTTGTGATTGAATCTGTAACTGTCTGCAGGGACTATTTTATATATTAATTACTAGGTTGAAGTTTATACCAGACATTAGACATTGTCCTCAAAGAAGAACTCTGGAATTTTTTTTTTTTGCAGCCTGCTGTAACTAGCTTTTAGAAGTATTAAAATATATTCTTGCCTTTCTGCATAGCAATGTAGTCTTGCAGAAATCCATGATACAGGCCTGGGCTCCCTGCCCTCTGCCTCCTTCATTTCCTTTCTGTTAGACTGCACAATGGCTAGTGGTCTATCAGCCTAACCTGAGGTCTAATAACCTCCCCGTTGTACTTGTATTTCAGCTAGCAGGGAAGTGATGACATCCCAGCACACGCTGCAGTGGGTGGAGTAGGAAAGCCTTAAGGTGGCCATACACTGTACAACCATCGCAAGACCTTAGTCTTGCGATGGTTGTAAAGGGATTAAAAAAACGTACGATCTGCCCATCTTGGATGGGCAGATCGCACTCTCGATCATCACAAGCCACGCCCCCTGAGGGGCGGGCTTGCGATGACTGTAATGAGGGGCGAGCTTACGCTGACTGCAAACGGGCAGTGTGCGCGTGCGCACACCGGCCTGTTCGGCAGTTGTCGAACCAGCAGGCCACCAACTCGCCGAGAATCGTACGATTCCCGGCGGGTTTTCAAACATGCTGGTTCGATGGAAGACGTGCGACCGTACAGTAGAAACGGTCGCATGCCTTCCATACACTGCACGATTCTCGTACGATCGCGGGATTTCCCGCGATTCTCGTACGAGAATCGTGCAGTGTATGGGCACCTTAAGACTGCTGGTCTGGCCCCACCCACTTTTACTGTTAAGGTGCCCATACACTGTACGATTCTCATACGAGAATTGCGGGAAATCCAGCGATCGCACAGTGTATGGAAGGCGTGCGACCGTTTCTACTGTACGGTCGCACGTCTTCTGTCGAACAAGCAGGCTTGAAAACCCGCCGAGAATCGTACGATTCTGGGCGGTGCTGGAACTCTGTGTAGTGCAGCTAGTGTTCCACACTTGTGATCGGAAGTTCTGATCTTTTACATGAATTGGTTCCCTTGCTGAGTCTGCTGACGAGTAAGTGAACTGAAGCTCAGGAGCTGATTACAGTATCAATCTAAATTAGGATCTCCTTTCATCGAGACTCTGTGTGTCATCTCTCATCTCCCTGCAAGACTGTCTGTCACTTACCACTGATGCAACCTGACCATTGATTCAGTGTACTGTGTTCTACTGGTGACTTATATGATTCTTTGATACTGGTGTACTATTGACTGAGAAGTGTTGTAAGTTCTGATTCTCAGTGTACTGTTAGCTGGCTGATTGGTTGCAGGGAGGCGCTGGCAGAAGCCGACCTCTCTCCTAGTATCTTACCAGAGCTGCTGTCCTATTCAATTAACACGGAACTGTTTCAAATGAGTCAGTTGTCAGGTCAGTCAGATGAATCATTTCATCTAGTTCACTGAAAAGAATCGATTCAAAAGAACAATTCCTTCATGAACTGGACCTCACTATTCCACACAGCTAGATAGCCACACAGCTAGATGCTCTGCTGCACTGTTAGGAGGAGGTAGGATGTCACTGGAGCATATAGTATTTTGTAGCTCTTTCCATCTCTGCTCTCAGCTCTGCATTTACTCTCCACCCACTTCCTTTATTTCACAATGCTTCATGGAAGATGTAGTTAGCTCTCAATGCCAGCATATGACGCACACTGGTTACCTAGAGCCTCCCACTGGCTGCAGGAAGGACTGATCTAATAGTAGGAGGATGTGACATCACTGGCCGCTAAAAAAACGAGGATTAGAACAAAAATTAGCACTTTCATGATATTGAATTGGTACAGCAGATTGCTTCCTCTGACTGAGAGGGACCTAAATATATAAAGTTATGTGCATCCTGGAGTTGTTCTTCAAGGTGCAGCTTGAAGGAGAGCATGAAACTAAGGATATGTTGACACAGAAGATTGATGTAGTCGTTATGATCTCGCAGATACAAAAAGCTAACGACCTAGAAATGGAAACCTTTGGAAACTTTACACTTGTGGGGTCACTTGTTCTCTTCACTTGAGATCAGTGAAGGCAATGTAGCCTTGAAACACTGAAAGTAAGCATTTTTTTAATTCTACAATCTGCACATAAATTAAATGTAATTGTGTTCAGTGTCCTAGTTGACATGTTTTTTTGGTGTTCTTGTTGGTCCAATCCTTGAGTGCTGTTTAGACTTTGAAAGCAAGCATTGCAAGGCTGCATAGGAATGTAGTGTACATGTTGTTGGCATTTAAAACAACCAAGTTGCAATACAGAAAATATAAAGCCATAGAAATGTATTGAATTTGAGTCGGGACAGTGATAGTGCAGCACATTGTAATATGGAGGCATATGCCTAAATTCTCTAGATTAAAAAAGAAAAGCAATTTTTCACTCCAAAAATACATTTGCCTTAGGTCACTCTGTCACTCACATAGGACCTCAAATTTACTGAAAATAAACTGACCTTGTGAAGCAGTACTGCTAAGCCTCTCTAGCCTATTAGTATACACAGCAAAATATGTGAGAGCTGGAAATAGCGGCATTAGTGGATAAAGGTTATTTGTACATAGAGTTATCTGCTTTTTTAATGGATTATGAAAATAAGAACACCTGCCATGTTTTTGTCTTGTGCCACCATATAGGGTTTAGTACACAACACATCTATTCATTTGTGGCTGCCATTAAAAAAAAAAAGCCCTAATAACCACTTTTACTCAATGTGTGGAACACAGAATAAATAGTAAATACCATTTCTTGTTTGATTGCAATTCATATAATTTCCATTCTTCTTCCAGTATAAAACATTGACCCCTGTGTCTGCCAGTCTGGAGCTTCTGCTTGTGGAGGATGTTAAAGTGAACCCAGGATCCATTGCTATTTACAATCACCCTGAAATCACGGTGAGCTTTGCTGTTTCAAGTGTAGGCATTAGCTCTAATGGTAAACTAAAGGGTAGCATGGGATTATTGAAAGTGGTCATTTCATTTTAGAAGTTTATTAAGTTCAAATTCAGGGCTTACTCTTCATCATTTTCAGTATTTTAACAGTATAGACAAATAAAAACAGGTTTACATTCAACCTTCAGCCAGCTGATTTACTGTTTTGTTTTTATTAATTTTATTTTCCATTTTTACTTGGACTTTACAGGGCTCCATTACAGCCTTTTCCTGGAACTGATGAACCTTGCCAGAGGGTGTCAGTAAATATTATTGGGCCACTAGCCATCCCTAGCAGTTCAGAAAAACGTTCCATCCTGAAGAGCTGATCTCCATTTTTACTGAGACAGACCTTATAAACTGATGGGTACACAAGCAGCCAGATACAGCCAATAAATCTAAATTTTTTATTTTATTACTGAGCATTTTAATATGTAAGGGATACTAGGGTTTACTTTATAAAGTAGTATGGAACCTAATTTGCCTTTCTGTGTTTTGTAGCCTTTTTGCATTAGCTTTTATTATATAATTTGTAACTGTAGTAGAGTCCTTTTTAACAAAATCATGTCTTATCCCACATTTCAGGCTGAATTCACCATCTCTGAGGGATCAGGATATTTTTACATCAACAGCAGCATATCTAATATTGTCAAAACGGTGTTTCAAGAAACAAAAGGAATTGTGACAGTATGTACTGCACTTAGATTTGATTATTTCCATATTGTATCTTTAAAGTAGATTCAAACAGTGAGTGTGAGTGAGCAGAATCTTTATATGTAAGCCTTTGGTCAAACACCCAGTGAGATTGGTAAAATACTAAATTAAGCATCTGTGGAGGGCACCCAGGCAGGATAAAACTGCACATTTTATGATGATGATTGCTTTTCTGTATTCTGTAATGTGATCTTTTCTAAAATAGCTCAAATACTAACTTGATTTTTACTTGCCTACCAAAAGCACATACCTGTTTTTGGCATTCTGTAGTAATAAAAAAATGGATAGATTCAATAGAATAAATTTTTTTCATCAGCACTTTTTTTTTATTTTGTACTTTGTCAGACAGACAGAGGTTCATGCTTACAAAGGAAAACCCAATCCAGAAAAGTTAGGTACAGGTATAAGGAAGCAGTCATGATACACATCTAAAGGTTACATGTGTCAACACCACATTATTTGGTGAGATTTTTTTTAACAATGGTATAGTAAGAGAGAAAAGTGTTAACCAGACTCGCGAAGTGCAAGCTTACGCAGCCGCTGTCGCAGCAGCATGTGCGGTGAGGAGAGAGAGAGAGCCGCCGGCTGTCAGATGCAGATCTCTCTCTCCTACCGCTCGGCGTGCTGCTGTGGTAGCAGGTCCGTCGTCCTCCGCTTTGCGATCAACTGGTAGACCGCGATCGACCTAATGGGCACCCCTGGTGTATAGTATATTCCCTGTAGGTCATATAATGCCTTTATGGTGCTATAATGGCAGGGCTTTGTCTGATGGTGGTATAAAGATGAAGGATGGCCTTTATAGCGATTAGTTACAAAGAGGTTAAGAGTCCAGTGATTCTGTAAACTCACAAAGAAAGATTAATAGGTGAAATAGAATTGAGCTATTGGAAGGAGAGAGGAAATATTAAAGGGAAAGTAAAGGGGAGTGGCATGGTTCAGAAAAAGGAAGAAAAGTTCTAAATAGTGTAATATTAGGTCATCAAAGTACAGGAAATATAATAATTTAGTTGGGAAATGTCCAGGTTTTTCTGTAGGTATTATTAGAATTAGTGTCTACAGCCCTTGTTCCCTTTTATGTGCAATTGGATGTCATAAAATGTGACTGGAAAACTTGTGACTGATAGTGACTTTATTTCTATACTAGGTGTATCCTTTGCGCCCCGGAACATTGTCCATCATGGTTTATGATCTTTGTCTGGCTTTCCCAGCACCAGCTGCCGTCCAAGTTCATGTATCTGATATTCTGCTGGTGGAAGTAAGAGTTGTTGATAAGGTAAGCTAACTGGATTTCTAGCTCAAACCTTCTTTTTTTTAGTGGTTTCTTTTTAGACTTTTCCAATAACTGTTTCGCTCACTTTAATCCAAAATCCATATTGTACAGAGTTGGCATATTAACCTTTATGTATTAAGAAGCAGAAATTGGATTTAATCTTTGTCGGATACCCTAACGTGTTGACTTGTAAAATATGTTTGCGTTCGGTACCTTTTTTTTTTTTTAGGGCTGTGCAAATTAACGATTTATTTCTCGATTAATCGTTAATCTTTTTGATTGATAAAAATTTTTTTGATCGCTAATGAAAATACTCACCTCTCCGCCGACTTCCGGGAGTCCCGTCAGAGATCCGCTGATGTCACGGACATCGACGTCACCGGACTCCTCCCCTTCCCCAAGTGGCTCCGTCGGCTAACGAAGGGAAGGGGGGAGGAGTCCGGTGACGTCACCTGACTCTCCCCCATTCCCTGCGTTAGCCGATGGAGCCACTTGGGCCGGTGAGTTTGCCCAAGAAACTTTCTGCACGAGCGCCAGCCAAGGCATTGGCCAATACACATACAGCACAGCAATGAAGTAATAAAATGAACTAGGATCACACTAATCCAGCACGTTATTATTCTGAGTTGCCCCACTCAAGCAGCGGCCATATTGAGTGGGGCACGTGAGATTAATAACGTGCTGGATTAGTGTGATCCTAGTTAATTTTATTACTTCATTGCTGTGCTGTATGGGTATAGGCCAATGTAGTTGGATCTGTATGTGCGTTATTAATCGATTAATCGATTAAAAAACATTTCGATTAATCGAACACGAAAATTTTAATCAGTAACAGCCCTTTTGTTTTTGTATGCATTACATTTTTTAAATGCCGTTTTGACTCAACCGATGTGAAGCGATAAGTTTTTAAAGAGACAATATCATGTTGCCAAAGTGACAGTGTCTGTGTAAACTCCCCGCCACTACAACCAAGTGATACTCACCTTTCCAGTGATTCTCTGGATGCCCCTTCCTCTGTTGCACCTGGCACAAGAAAACTGGTGGTTCTGGGTACAGGTTGAGCATGTAACCTCCTTTCATGACTTTCATGATGCAGTACTTGGGTTTATCACATGATGGAGGGGTGATGCCACTCCCTCTGGGCTCCAACATTTTGGTGGCGGCTGTGATGGAAGTAGAAGCTGTGGGGAACCGCTAAATAGATGAGTACCAGGGGGTGTTTGGTGATTTACAAAATGGTAGTTTCCGAGGGTTTGTAATTGGTTATTTGTCAAATCGTTGGACGTTTTTTAGTGTCTGGTGGATGTTTTTAGGCAAGCTTTCTCCATCTTAATTGGGCTGTGCTGTCCTTTCCTTTTAAACCAGCACTTCGGAGTCCTGTATAACTTACAGATTTTTTCTTTTTTTTAATTAAATCCTAGTTTGATGTTATGCTTGGGGATAAATGTTAACACAGTGCAATAAATCCGGCTGTCTTTTTGCTGTGCAGGTTGAAATTGGAAAGTCAGTAAAAGCCTATGTGAGGGTCCTGGATTCTTCTCAAAAACCATTCCTTGCTAAATATTTTGCCTACATGGATTTGGATCTTGGGTCTTCATCTCACATTGTGTCTTTTAAGTGAGTTACTTTTTTGTAAGCTGATTTCTATTGTTTTATTACTTGGGAAAACAGAGTTTAACCAAATTCCCTATAACTACTTTTGTTTTCTTCCAGAGCCCTCGGTGAGAAGACTGACCCATTTACAGCTGTCTTCATTGTCCAAGGTCTGGCTATAGGACAGACAAGTCTCACTGCATCTGTCACAGATAAAGCTGGTAACAGAATTGATTCTTCACCAAGATCGCTTGAGGTAAGCTAAGGTTTTATCAGCAGTGGACCACAAGAGAGGACTACCTGAGTTTTTAATTTTAAAGTTTCAAATGTAATGCCTAATGCAAAGCTTTATTTTACAGTTTTCATTTGTACCTCATGGATTTCAATAGGGATGGGTTTAAGTCATATGGGCTCATCAGATAAACAGTGTTCCATGATCATGATTTTTTTTTTAAAGTTTACACAATGATAATTATACTTGCATTAAGGCTTTCTGTATTAGCTTGGGCCTCCCTTATATGGAAGGTTTCTGGATTTTACATTTGCTGTTTTGTTTTACTATTTATTCTCAGGTTATTTACATGTGTCAGATTGTAGTAAGTACAAACTGCCTTTTTGCAACAGTTGAACTATGGGATTTTGCAACAGGAGAACTATGGGATTAAGGCTTTTCCCCATAGCTCTCCTTAGGGTAACGGGAGGACACAAACTAGCATCCTCCCGTCACCCTAGGCTAAGTATACCGCGAGCTTTAGCTCGCGGTATACTGAGACGCCGCAGTATACCTCGAGCTGCTGCTCGCGGTATACTGAGACGCTGAAGCGGATCCCGACAATTATGTCTGGATCCGCCCAGCTGACAGCTGGCTCTAGAGGCAGAGTGGGGGGAGGGGGGAATGCAGCCCCTCCCCTGTCACGGCAGAGAGCCGTGACAGGATTGAGAGGTGAGCGAACGCCGTTATGTGTTCACTCACCTACCGATTTACTGAGCCGACCTGTGACAGTCTCATTGTCACAGGTCGGCTAGAACTATGAGGTGAGTGAAAAACACTCACCTCATAGTTCTCCTTTTTAAAAGGTAAAAATTACTACATTTACAATATTTAAAGGGGAAATCAACCCTGACAGGTAATTTCTTATCTTACGTTACCCATATTCTGACCACATTTTTCAGTGGAAGAGCATCACCATTTTTCTTCTTCTCTTACTCCAGTTTGTTCCAAGTTTGTGGTTTGATTTTCTATAAGCTGGGAAAATACTGTTGTGAGATAAAGTGCAGTAAAATAAAAGGCAGTTATTTCTGCCAGGCTTTATAAATTTAATTTGAGAGAGAAGCCTTCAGTATGTAGTTAATGCAATAGGTAGATATTTGTTTATAATCACTAATGTCCTACTACTATTGGTCCTATCTGACAGGTCTTCCCTCCGTTCCGACTCTTGCCTCGGAGGATTACAATCCTTATCGGTGCTACAATGCAGGTGAGCATTCTGTACTGCTGGAGACTGGATAATGCATGCATTTCAGTTAATTGAATATCTATTTCAAGAGGCAAATTGAAAGGTGCGGTAACACATAGCAACTACTCAGAAGTCACTTTACTAAAGCTAGGCCAATGCAAGATAGTCCACTTGGTCTGTGTGAGTTGTACTTATTGAAGGGAATTTATCCATACTAGAGCAGACCAAACCTGGAACAGCTATGCATGGCAACCAATCGGTATCTCTCTTTCATTTTAAAACCTTAAGTGAACAAACTGAAGAGAGAAGCTGAATGGTTGCCATGGGCAACTGCTCCAGATTTTGTCTGCTCCAGTTTTGATAAATTCCCCCTATTGGGTTTTGTCTTTGTACTGTTTAATTTATTAAGCACATGGTTGGCTGATTTACAGAAATAGAGCCATTGCAAGTTGGGAAAACGTTTGCTGTTACCCAGCTATGCTCTTTCTCTAGAAAAGTGGAATAAGGAATTTTTCTGTGGGCAGCAAATCCCCATGAAATCAATTTTTGCTCCAGTTTTTGGAAATTGGTGTGGGTGTGTTTTTGTTTTATTGTTTACTAATTGACATTCAGCAATGCTTTACAGATTTACAAAGTAATGGCCACAACACACACACACTCACACACTCTCTCTCTCTCTCTCTCATATGAGCGTTCTTGCATGGAAGCTGATTATCCTATTAGTACATTTTTGTGAGGATAAGCCAGGAGGAAACCCAGACGGAGGGCGAGAACACGTACTATATGCAGATAGTATAAATGAATCAAGAACCCAACAGTGCTAACCTGGAAGTGTTCGACATTTAGGATTAATATACAGCCTCAGTGAACTCTGAAACATGCTTGTATTAGTATAAGTACAATTCACTCCTAACCCTACAGCCTTTAGAAAAACCTGAAGGCAGTATGCAATTTGCTCATGTGTTTTACTATTTTTAGGTATAAAGTACATTATTATTATTATTATTGTTCTTATCCTTTTAGATCACATCAGAAGGTGGCCCACACCCACAATCAAACATACTATTTTCCATCACAAATGAAAATGTTGCTTTTGTGAGCGCTAATGGTCTGGTGAAAGGTGAAACAATTGGCAATGTATCAGTAACTGGGGCCATACAGGCCATTGATTCAGAATCTGGAAAAGAGGTTATTGTGTCAGAGGTAATATTGTCTAATTAACCTTTTTTTTTTGCTATGTTGTATACTTCTATATCTAAAAACAAATCATAAGAAGGAATAATGCATAACAAATTGGAGAGGTTAGTATGATTTGGGGAAATACCAATGATGTGTTGAAGCAATAAATATACAAAGTAAAGTTAGCAGCAGTATAATATGGGGTCAGTTTTTAGCTTTTTATAAACCAATTTCCTGTATTTAACACATTCCCTGTATTTCAGGATAAAGTAGAGGTTGAAGTAATACAGCTGAAAGCTATTCGGATTCATGCACCCATCACCAGAATGAAAGGTGGCACACAGGTGAGTAACGTGTGTGTGACATCTGTTTCTTTTTTTTACTTTCAGCGTTAAAAAAGGATGTTTCTAAAATGCTACCAAGTCTTTTTTATATAATGAGATTTTCACTGGCATGTTATGGAGAAGTGACAGTGACAAACAACTTAGCATATTAGCCAAAGAACACGGATATACAAGATAGAGTGTGATTGGTCTTTGTGGGTACACATTGTGTTTTATCCCGTTGTCCACTGTTTGATTTAGTGGGCACACATGTGGCTGACCTACAGAAATGGAGCCAATGTAAGTTGAGCAGAATTGTTTCTCTTGCCCAGCTCTGCTATTTCCCTAGAAAAGAGAAACAAGGAATTTCTCTGTGAACAGCAGTTCTCCATTTAATCTGTTTTTGCTTGCAGTTTTTGAAGATAAATTGCTACACAACTTTTTTTTGTTCTTCCTTTCTTTTATCCAAGCTTTATTGGTAAAGGTACTATGCGTACATCTGAAATGCTAACAAGTCTTTTGTGTTTTTTTGTTTTCCAATTCTTTATTTAACGTTCCACCAATTTACAGGCAGCATAAAATATAAAATTGCATTCGTATAAAGCACATAAACATAAGACAAAGCAGTCTTCATAGCAAAAGGTATTATGAACAGCATTGTAACATACAATATGCTTCATGCGACCCTAGGTCGAAAGCACATTCCATCAGTGGGGTTTCAAGTGTTGTGAGAACAAAGAATAGCAAAAGATCCTCGAAGTAGCTGCAATTAGAAAGATACAATAAAGCAGCAAAAGGAAAAAAAAGGCAGAACAGAGACAGTGGGAACTTTATCAATTTGCATTGATAGGTCCTCTTTATGGAGACATCAGGGGTCTTCAAGACCCCCTAATGTCACCTAGGGATCCACAGAGAAGCTGATGAAGCAGAGATCTGCTTCATCAGCTACTCTCCGCCTTCTGTACCGGAGAGTGACAGAGGAATGCAGAAGTTATGTAATATACATCACTTCCTGCATTTTGACAACGAAGAGGAGGAGATCGAACAGAGATCGTGTACTGATCTCCTTTTGATCTCTGGTCACAGAGCTGCTGTGCTGGTCCCGGGCTCACAGCGGAGCTCGGGATCGCCAGCGGCGACTGCGACGGAGGGGGTGCCTGCACACATATTACAAGCGATTTAGGTTTCTCTACAGGCGCCCAAACGCCTGTATGTAAACAGTGGCAGACGTAAAGGGTCGTTTAAAAACGCCCACCCGCATCTTAAGAGGTCGCTGTTCAATTACAATGGCCGGACAGCAGGTGGTTAAAGTTTTGGATAGAGTAAGGGAGGATTGTAACCCCTATTAGCTTTTTCTTTGCCATCTGTGTCCCATTAGGTAGATTTCCTTTCCTGTCCGATAGCCAAAACATCAGAGGAAATCTCTTGAAAGAGAGTGAAATGCTGCTGTGTCACCAGGACTAGTGTCCCCACTGGAAGATTTTCCATCTATTCCTGTTCTGATAACCATAAACTAAACTAAAAAAGGTAACCGCAGGTATTTGGTGGTGCTCTTAGGCTTTTAGGACTTTCACTTAAAAAAATAAAAGTGGAATAGATTCACGTTAAATGTGCAAAATAATAAGTAATCGGAGAAGTAGTTTAAGGCTTTGCAGAATCACAATGCAATATGTTAAAAGACCATTCAATCAAAATTGAATGACGTTATTGACCATTGTGTTTGACAAAAACTCCTCTTACTTTGCAGGGTAGGATTTGTGTATGTTTTACTTTCCCTGTATTAAAGGAGAACTATGAGATGAGTGCTTTTCACTCACCTCATAGTTCTAGCCGACCTGTGACAATGAGACTGTCACAGTTCGGCTCAGTAGATCGGGAGGTGAGCGAACACATACCGGCATTCACTCACCTCCTGATCCTGTCACAGCTCTCTGCCGTGACAGGGGAGGGGCTGGATTCCCCCCTCCGATCCGCCAGCGCTGACTGGCGGAACGGACGGGGGAGGGGGCGGCTACAGCTGGCTCTGCCTCTAGATAGGCAGAGCCAGCTGTCTGTCACGCAGCTGGGCGGATCCAGACATAATTGTCGGGATCTGCTTCAGCTGCGGTGTCTCAGTATACTGCGAGCACTAGCTTGCGGTATACTGAGCTTAGGGTGACGGAGGGACGCTAGTTTGTGTCCACCCGTTACCCTAAGGAGAACTATGGGGAAAAGCCTTAACCCCATAGTTCTCCTTTTAAGTGAATATGAAAGTAGCATGTGACTTTTTAGGAATAAAACATTAAGCAATCATGGGTTTGTAAACATTGTTTGCCTGATTTCCCTAAATATTTTGTTTCACTAAGATTTAGTACACGCTGTCTAGTTTCCTGCTATGTTTACTGAACGGGCTTATTTATATAGGTGTATGTATTTATTATTTAGTGTTGTGTGCTTGTGCTCATTATGAGGCTTACAAGAGCTTTTATACAATCATAATGAGCGTTCACATTAATATGTTATTTCCCAACAGATGCCTGTTTATGTAATGGGAATATCTAGCAACCAGACACCTTTCTCATTTGGTAATGCTGTTCCTGGGCTTGTTTTCCACTGGTCTGTAGTAAAGCGGGATATCATAGAGGTGAAAAGCCGACATAACGAGGTGAGGTTCTACTACGGTTCTGCTAAATAAAGAATTGCGTTATTAAACATATTTTGTGTGTTGTAGGCAGACTTCCACTCTCCCGTCCATAGCTTGCTCAATCATACCGCGCGTTTCACTGAATGGAAAAACGTGCTAAACGCGGAAAAAAAACTAGCAAAATAAATACGCCCAGGTGTGAACCCAGCCTAAAGCCTGTTCAATAAAAGCTTCCAATCTGATTTATTTTTGTGTTTCTGCAACTGTAACTCTGCAAACAAATCAAAATTTGAGGTATTTAGAGAAGACACTAGTCATTAGTATATGCATAAAATGGATTAAACATACAAAAATGTCTGAGCAGAGATTATCATTAGTGAAAACTGTGCAGGAAAATGATCAGTAGATCCTGAGATAGAGGCAGTTAGATTTATAAAAATGTCTCTCTTTTCTCTACAAGTGCTAAGCATGGCCCATCTACTTCCTGAGCCCCCCTGTTAATAAGCATGGCTGCACATCACATTAAAGGACCAATATTGAGGGGGGTTGAAGGCCATGCTCAACTTTTACAGAAGAATTTGCTTACAATTTTTGACTTAGATATTTGGATCTACAGATTATTATTTTTTTACATTTGGTTGCCACTATAATTAGTATCAAACTCCTCAATACTTTTTTTTTTTATAATGAATCCAGATCAAACAAATATACATTGCCCAGCAAAGCTTTGCTTTACATTTTTGCCCAAACGCTTACAATCATCATGTTTACGAACGGCTGTTTCAAAGTCTCAGCTCGGGTTCCCTGAACTTTCTGTCCAGTATTAGATCACAAAGGAGAGAGCAGACACCAGCAACTTTTCATCTTCTAGCATGGAGAAGGGAGGAGAGGGGGCCAGGGGAAGGGAAGTAGCTTGATTTACTGTGTGTTTGTGGAGACAACGCACAGCTTTCTAGCACACACAGGGGTGTGTGACTACACAGCACCCTGCTTGAGAAAGGAGTCCCTCTAAAACAGGAAGCCAGGACACCAACTAATTCTACCAGAAACAAACTTAAACATCAAGGAGCAGCATTTATCAGCATTTGAATTAGCTTGAAACCCTTTTGACTTTAATATCACTTTAACTAACTGAGCAAACTGAAGAGAAAAGCTGATTGGATGCCATGGGCAACTGTTCCAGATTCTGTCTGATGCAGTTTTAATAAATCCCCCCCATTGTATTTTTTTTTTTTGTTCTTGAAGGGTAAAGGAAAATGTATTCAAAGTTTTAAACTTTTATATAAATGTTACCTCCTATAAGGGCCTTTGTTGATTTGGGTTTGTGTTGATGGTATCAGTCTGAGACACTTCTAAGATCATTTAGGACTCATTGACAGGTGCAAATAACCTCCTTCTTCAAGCAGGTTCTGCATTCCCATAGACTTTCAAAGCAAAGCGAACAAAGTCCATTGACATAGGTCCTAAATGATGTAAAGTATGTTTCTAATGCAGAGCAGGAAAGTGTAATGCCACATATTTACATTCCATTGCAGTTTGCATTAACAGGCTCTGATTTTGTGTTTTTAAAAAAATTTGCTACAATAATCGATTTAGTAGTCAGAAATTTGAAATATTTAGCAGATTTATTTTCATAAGGTATGTACATTCCAACAAACATTCTGTCCCACCCACAGCTCTGCTGTCTGTACACCCTGTGTGCCAGACAGTAATGAGGTCACTGCTCCTTTTACAAGATAGTTTCTGGGTCTGCAGAGACATGCGCACAAAGTGGATTTTTTTTATCCCATCTGGTTATTGGGGAATATATTTAAATGAAAGTTTGTTTTTGTTTTTTTGCTTAGAGCCTTAATTTTATATGAATTTGCATTGCTCAAATGTATTTGTATTTTGTCTGTGTTAAAAGGCCATTTTTATCTGCTATGTAATTAACATTAAAACAGCTCTAAATATCTCACTTAGTGAATCTCTCTTGTAACAGGTGTCTGTTGAGCTTCCTGGACAGTACAACTTTGCCATGAATGTTTATGCCAAAATGAAAGGAAAAACTGGACTCAAAGTAAATGTTCAAGTCACTGATCCACTGGCAAAGCAGTTCTATGGCCAGGCACATGAACTCTCGGATGAGATTCAGATTCAGGTATTGTTTTACTATCAACCTTTAGTTAGATTTGTTCTTATTGTACGCCCTTACATTGGCTCCATATTAAATGTTTGTCTTTTAAGGTGGTTTGCTAATTTGCTATTTGCATAAAAATGATGATAGCGAACATCTAGACATGTTAAATCTGCCTCAGCAGTACCCTGATAAATCTACCTTTTTGTCTTCAGTTACTCCTGAAAAAAAAAAAAAGTACTTCCTGTGCCTACAGTCTTGTAGCTGTATATGTGCACTGTGAGACAAAATGTACTGCTGCTTCTGACTGCTAGTATCTGGAGATCTGAACTGAGATTTGGGGATGTCATTGTTCTGCAATGTTATACTTTTCACGGTTCTCCTTGCTGAAATCTGTGACATGAGGAGGAAAAGCCCTGACTCTACCAATATGGCTGGTTCCACACTGAGAGACAGTGCAGGACAAGGCATGAAAAGTCAGTAATGGGGGAAAGTTCAGTAAGAGTTTAGTTAGTTTAGTTTAGTCTCTTTAACAGAGAGTATCATGATTATTAACAAGAGCTTAACTATAATAACAGGGCATTCACAGCCGGAAAGAAATCTCTTTAAAAATACTGGTGGTCAAAATCTTTTTCCCATGTAGCAACCCTAGAACTTGATTTTTCAGGAGCATATGAATTTGCCTGAATTGCAATTCAACTGGTTTCCGTATTTCATTTAACCCATGGCTTACCAAACATTGCATGCATGTAACACATTTGAAGGGTTGAAGAGCTGTTCTATCTGAACTCAAGTGTGGGATTGGTATCTGTGTGTAAAGGAATTTGGCACTATATATCCCTCTTCGCCATTTCCAAAAGTTGGCAGATGTGGTAGGATATTGTAAACTAATGCAGTGGGTGAAAAGTTCTCCATATAAACACACAGATGCACATTAACCGAACACGCAATGCTTTCTGTATTTCAGAAAGTACGTCTGTACTTCAATTTTTTTTTTGATACTTTACAGCATGTTTGCCAAATGCAAAATTAAAGTGAATGCGCCATTTACAAATGTGCCCCTTAGTCTGTAAAGTGCCCCTTTAGTCTGCAGTATCCCCTCATCAAGCCAATTATTTCAGCGTTTGCTAAATTTTGATTTCTGTGAGTTATTCTGCTTGGCTCATTGCTGTCATTTTTGTTGAATAATTGTAATTTGCAGGCTAGATGTTACTCTATTCCTATGTACCCATGTGCTGATATACATGGCATGGAGCTATGTGACTAGAATTACATACTTTGTTTTTCATTGTTCAATGACTTTTAGCTCTTTATATATAGCCATATTTTTAATACTGAATAAAATTACTGAAATTTGTATTCATGTATTTTCTAATGCAATGATATATTTCAGGTATTTGAACGATTACATTTAATAAGCCCAAATGTGGAGGCTGAGCAGATATTGATGTCTCCTAACTCTAAACTGAGGCTGCAGACTAATAGGTAACTTAATTCTTATTCCTGCAGTTTAGTAATTTTTCTTTTGTTTTTATTAGGAATCATGGTTGCATGCTGTCATGTTTTGAAGTCTAACATCACTTTTAGCGCAATATAACTTATTAGGCTCTGCCCTATGTTGCTGGGCAATGTATATTTCTTTGATTTGGATTCATTATTGACAAACGTTTGAGAGTTTACTACTACATTAATGCCTTCAAGAAGGAAAATATATCTGGATGCCTGTATGGAGTGCGCATACCCTTGCGTATTTATTATTTTATAAGAGAGAGCTTATCAAGAGAGAAATAATTGAGCCAACGTTGCTGCTTTACTACTCAGTCATGAATAAGAACAAGCACTCAACTAGTTAATTGTTAGGTCACCTGGTATGCATATATTAGTTTCACTTTAGTGACTTATTAAATAGTAAATGAATGGCAAGCATGACAACAACTAGCTTGCCCCTTCAAAAATAATCAAATTAATTTAACCCCTTCGTGACGGGAGACGTACAGTGTACGTCCCGTCACAAAGTGGCTATATGACTGGGCACGTACACTGTACGTGCCGAGTTATATTAGCCTCTGTAATGCTGGTAACTGCTGATTCTCAGCAGTTCCAGTCATTAATGCCTCACTATTGAGACATTCATTAATGAAATAGTTAAGCTTTTTTAAAAGCTTCTTTCTTTCATTAATGAAAGAATGAAGCCTTTACATTCAGATACGGGTTCGCTAAATAGCGATCCCGTATCTGACAGCTGAAGATAGCAGAGAGGTAGCAGTGACTCACCTCTCTGCTATTCGTTTTGACAGCTGGAGAGCCTGGCCCGATGTTAAATGATACATTTCAACCACTAGATACATTTGTATCTCTTGAGTGAAATGTATCAGTTTTGATCGTCTAGGAACGATCAAAGACCTTTAGTGAGATCTGATTCTGACATGCTGTCAGGATCAGTCTCTAAAGTTATTATTAGCTGTTCCTAAGCTTGGAGCAGCCTGATAATAACTAAAAATTTTAAAAAGTTAATTTATTAAGCAGTCATAGTGATTGCTTGATATAAACTGACAAAAAAAAAAAATTTTTTTTTTTTACACTTATTTTTTTTACAAAGTGTAAAAAAAAAAAAAAAAGTTGTACAAAAAATTAGGAAAATAAAACGTTTATATATAAATATATTTGTATACTATAATTATTATTAAAAAAATTCTAAAAATAATAATAATAATCAAAACTTGCTGCTGTGGAAGAATCACACAGCAAAAATGTAAAAAGTGTGTCAGTCATTTAGGAACAGAAACTAAAAACTAGCTCAGTCATGAAGGGGTTGAAAGAAAAACTTCAGTAAGAATAACGTAGTGGGTGATCAGTGTAATGTGCAGTATTTTAATCCATGCCCCACTTACACCAATCTTCTGCTATAAACTCCCAATTAGCTGGTGCCTTAGTCTATCACTTGTTTTCAGACCCAGAATCTGACCCCAACTTACAAACTTGCGGTTCAGGCCTTGACTTTAAGTCATTAGCTAAGTTGTAGAAGCATCTATCTCCACCTGTCCTCCACAACAGTTATAATACCTGGCTTTAATGATCATCATAAGAAGAAAAGTAATGCATGGTTACCACTAGGCCTTATTATGTTACTTGTGGTGTTCCCCCGTGCTGATTTAATTGTTGAAAGGTCAACTAACGTATACTGCTATGAAGTGGGTACTGGCTTTCCTGGCATTCTACATCATGTAAACCAGCTACAGTATGGTTTTGAGGTAATATTACACACTGGCCTGGACCAGCTACACAGCACACCCTGTTTATCAGAGGGAACTATTTCTAGTTACTATGGTCATTTGGAGATCAGGATTTGCCCGGCCCAAAATAATATTCATCTCCATCTTGCCACACCTATTGAAGTCTCTTGAAAGTGGACAAAATGTAGTTGACCATGGTAGAGAGTGAGCAGGGATCTTTTTCCAGCTTTCAAATGTATCTTTTCTTAATGGCACATTAAGCGATACAGGGTGAAGTAATTTAGGTAGATTGGGTTATGCTGCTACCTTTAGGAGATTGGACACACAAACATAGCTGTTAGAGAGATGGTATAAACCCTTCCAGTCCCATTATGCTCCAGTTTTTTCCTGGTATCCTATGAGAACAGATGTCTTTATTCCTTTGAGAGAAGCAAACTCTTTTTTCTTTTCAGTTTTTTGGATCAGCGGATTCTTGGCACTTCCAAGAAAGGATCCCACTGTGAAGCATAACTGGGGCCAGCTAGTAATGTGTCCTGCTGGCACTGGGCTCTGGTGAAGGAACTCCAGAATGGGTCGTCTTTGTTGGTAATGCGGAGAACCCTTTGACTTTTAAAGTTCTGTTGAGCATCCGTGCAAGAAATGCCTCCTGCATATATGCCCTTCGATGGGGAATGCCTCTTTGGTGAATCCCTGAACAACGTTATCAAGGCCCGGCAAAAGAAGTAAAGACCTGTATCTGGGAAACCCTCTACATCTGAAAAGTTCCTTATGTTTTTCCCAGTTTTCCAAGTCAAGCCTGGAACTCCGTTCCACCTTATGTATTGGATCTTCAAATACACAAACAAGTCCTCCTTACAATAAGAGGGCTCTGCCACTTGTCAGAGTGTGGTGATATTCATCTGGTCCTAGAACATTTCAGATGTTTGCATCTATAACTTGATATCCAGAGGCTACAAGCTGGAATTTCAGTCTCTTCCCTGCTTCATGTTGTCAAACCTGCCAGCTTCCCAAAAAGATTGGGGACCTGCATTCTGCTCTGGTGCAGCTCCTCAATCAAGGGATCATAGCCATTGTCCCAAAAATGTAAAGGTTTCAGTTTTCCACAGGAAACACTACAGACTTTTCTTTCCTAGAGCTTGGGCTCTTTAGTCTAAGAGCCAGCAAATTCTCAGCTTTTGCATGAAGGTTCTGGGCTTAATGGTGGCCTCTTTCAAAGCAGTTTCATATGCCCATTTTTACCATTGCAACTTAACATTCTGCCTGGATGGGACAAGAAATCTCAGTCTCTCGACCAATGCCATGGCAGTAGCTTATATCAACCATCATGGAGGAGCCAGATGTATTACAGCTCAAAGAGACGACGCGCAAATTCTGCCTTCACATCCATCTTGCCTCTGTCAGTTGTACACATCCTGCTGTCTTAATCCAAAACATTCTTAGGAGATTACCTTCCTCGGAATGTGGTATTTGGAATCTGGATGTGCTAAGTGTCCAAGTCTGTTTCTTAGCTACAAACTAGAAATTTATCGACTGCATCAATATGTTCCCACTTGGAGACTCGTATACATAGAGTTGGGACCACACTTTACAGCGGTGCCTTGACGGGGCGGTTTGGCTTTCACATATTTTTGGCCAACGGTTTGTGCAACTAAAACCTCTGCTTTTAACGCATACTGTTAGACAGGGTAATTTGTTTTGTTGCAGGCCATCTGGCAGGTGTGCTGGAGATTGTTTGTGTTTTGTATTGTTTCTTAGCTACAGCTTCTTTTGACAGGCTGACTCTTTATCATAATTCCCGAGGAACCCCACAGACGACAGCCTACCTCTTGTTCCTTCCCCAGCTGGATAAGCCAGTTTATCTTTCAAGTCTATAGCCTTAAGGACAAGGTTCTACCCTTCAATGTCAAGGCACACCCCACTAGATCAGTTAGTGTTTCATGGGTGTTTCAGCATAAGTCATCTGATTCTCAGATTTGTAAGGCTGGCACCTGGTCTTCTGTGCACATTTATAAAATTTTACCAGGTGGATGGTCAATCCTCATCTGATGCGAGCTTCAGTTGTATGGTTTCCTCAGGTGGCTCTTTAAGCTCTGTTGAGCCAATCATTTTGTTAACCCAGTATTACTGGTGGGCCTATTAGCGTTTTGTTGCCCACCCCTTGGTTAGACTTCTTTTTGGATGTCTCAACGCATCGGAACTGTTTTGTCCTGTATGCCTTAATGTACCATTAAGAACACAGTATTTTTAACAGGAACATCTTTTTCTTGGAGTATAATAATGGACACAGGTCCCTCCCCTCTTTTCTTTTGACCTATTATTAGTATTGCTTGCTACAAAACTGGAGCATGGTGGGTGTGGAAGTGGTTATATTGGGCTGTGGTACAGCTTTTTTTACTAGTGTCTAATCTCCTGCAGGCAGCAGCATAACACAATGTACCTGAAGTATGTCACACTGTAATCCTAAATGTACTGCAAGAAAATATGTAATCCTAAATGTACTGCAAGAAAAAATCCTGTTTTACAGAATCCAGTACAGATTTATTTTCCATGTATGTTGAATTGGTTAGTAGCATGTTTGTTTTTTACAAAATAATATCTTTTTGGTTACAGAGACCGAGCAGCGACTGTTAGCTATAGGATACTGAATGGTCCAAATAAGCCGTCTGTTGTACAGGTTGATGATAATGGTTTGCTGACATCAGGATCTTTTACTGGTATTTCAACCATGGAAGTCATCTCTCAGGAGCCTTTTGGAATCAACCAAACCATTATTGTTTCTGTTAAGGTAATGTATAGATATGTTTTGTTAAGGAGTCCTGTAAATTAACAGAATGTTTTACTTGCCTGTATTATTTGCTTTAATCTAGAGTCTTGCAATCCTTAAAATTTTGTAATGGGAATCAAAATCTAGCTCTTTTATGTTGGAAAATAAATCAGCTGTGATGTAGACATCCAGAGCTAGAAGTTCAGCCAGACAAGGGCACGGTTGCTGCAGTGTGTAACAGTGACATAAGTTATAGTCAGAAACGTTCTTCGTTTCCAGGCTTGTTGTAAAAGCCAGTGCTGAGACCATTCTTTACAGCCCAGCTTTAGTTTTGATTGATTTACCAAGGCACAATAGAGCTGCAGTAGAATCCGCACTGTGAGTTCATTAAAAGCTCATAGCACTGTAAATCTGTTTCAAAGAGTCCAGCCATTCAGTGTCCGTGCTGTGTTCCAGGGCTTAGGCTCTCCCAGACAAACAGGTTGGTTTTGTCAAGATGAGTGGTTTTGTAGAAACAAATTACCTGAAGAGAAATCTCTGTTTTGGATAGCCTTTTATATATGTTTGTAAATGATTTTGTTAAATCCATTTATTACAGACATGTCAAGGCACTAGAGTGCACACGACAGTGGCAGAACACCTGGTTTGTGCATTAAAAACAGTCACTTTTATAAAAAATAAATTCTGACAACTATAAAATCATCTTTTAAAAGTTCTGCTTCCTATTTCATGCGTTGAAGCCCGGGTTGTGGGGTTTCTGCAGAAACACAAACCGGGAACATAGGATTTAGTTACATGATGAGATTTCCTCTGCCAAACAGTAAGCATGACACAAAGTGGTATGTTGTCAGTCAGCCTCTGTGGGCAGGTAGAGAGGTGCTGATGTCATCTGAGGTAAGCATGCACCAATATATCAGCCTCCAAAACATTTCAACCGAAAATTGCACTTTAGGCGCTGCTCTGTGTTCCAGCGGGGAGGAGAGAAACTGTCACAGGCGGCCCAGCGCCGTGAGCGGCCGACTTCTCTCCTCCCCGCAACGCTCAGTCACCCTCCTGTCACCGATCGGGGGGGGCGGAGACAGCTTGCAGTGCTGTCACAGGAGGCTGAGCTCTGCTTGCTCAGCCTCCTGTTACAGCGTGTCAGACTACTACTCCTCACTCTCCACTTTCTGCTGCCTAGAGATCACTTCCCTTTCCCATTAGATGACGGATGACTGGCACACTGGCTTCCTATATCTTGAGGGCTCCATCAACAAGATATCACTACCAAAGTTAACAAATTGGGGTTTACCCACAGCTAAAGTACCAGTTTTGTGTATACTTCCCATAAAAATGTTGCAGAGAGAGTCCCTTGTTTAACATTGATCGTATTTATTGAACTACTACTTGCCAAACCTGGCCGATAATCATTTATTGTCAGGGATTTGTTTAAGGGTTGGGTTAGATTAATCTTCGGTTATTACATTTTAGGATATTAGGCTAGGAAGGATATTGTCAGGAACACTTCAACATTTTGAGAACCATGTTGGTAACAGGTAATACTTTCTCCTAGGTGTCACTCATTTTGGTGTCTTTGCACAGTGTTCAGTGTATACACCATCTACAAAAATAAAGATACATCAACCACAGGGACAGAAAAGTAATTGATGCTGCAGGTTTCATAGATTGTTCAGGCTTTGATATTCTGATCTCTCTTGTTTTTACAGGTATCTCCAATTTCATACATGCGCATTGTAACTAGTCCTGTCCTTCAAGTAGAAAGCAATCACTTATCTGCAATTCCATTGGGAATAATTTTGCATTTCACAACCCGTTTCCATGACAACACTGGGGACGTTTTTCATGCTCAGAATTCTGTTCTCAAGTTTGCAGTTAACAGGTACGTGCTTTTTTCCTGAACATCAGTAACTTGGGAAGAAAAGTTTGATATGCTTTTGTTAGGTAGTCTTCAGTCCAAACCAAATACAATTATTTTATGTTTTGGTTGTTCCCATGTGGTTTAAGAGAACATTCACTTCCCACCATGTAACTGTTCCCTATTACTACCTACAGAAATCTCATAATATTCCACGTGTGTTCTATCGTATATTAAGCCATTGCAAAGATTACTTTTTTGTGGGCTGCATAAAATTCTTAAAACCACATGATGGCAGTGTTGCAGCACCTAAGGACATCCTATATTTACAGCGTTATTTAATATGTTGTGTGTGAATTATATACTCTTTTTCCTTTTAATTTTAGAGAGGATTTTGTACAAATTGGTAAGGGACCCAAAAACGACAGTTTTGTCATGCGCACGGTCAATGTTGGATACACTATATTGAGTGTGTGGGATACTGAGAACCCAGGAATCTCGGACTACGTCCCCCTACCTGTCCAGCACAGCATTTACCCTAGTATGAAGGAAGAAGTTGTGGTTGGTGACGTCATTTGTTTCACAAGCACAGTAGCCACTCAGAAAGGTAAGATATTGAAGGCATCTCATCTTAGAGTATGTGTGTACTTGTGAAGTGATAAAGAACATTGATGCTTACCTTTGAACCTCTGGTCCACTAACTAATATATATTCCCTGTTTATGGACCTTAAAGACTAAAGATCTCAAAAACCTTTCCAGGGCATAGGGGTGTTTCTGTTTCCTTGCTATTGGATGTCCATTTGCGTTACATATACATGATTATCGATCAGTCTTTGCATTCACCTCACTGAATAAGCTTTTGCCATTAAAATGACCAATTTAACAATTGTTTTAAAAATGTGGTAATATTGCTCTGGAATTGCTATTGTCTGACATCCCCTTCCTCTTTTTTTTAATGTCCTTTCAGAGTTGAGCTGACTGTCCACCTTGCATTGTGTCAGTGCTTATAAAATACATGTAAATTTTAAATCTGTTCTATAATAAATATTCTGCTAGAATTGTATGAAAGAAGCTAAAGGTTCTGTCCCATGACAGATGAAAACATTACACTCTTGACTCTTACAGTGTTAGCTGAACAAAAAAAAAAATCTATCAGGCTGAACTAAAGATATAAAATTGGTTCCTCTATTCACAATAAGAATGAGGCTAGTGGAATTTCCCGCTGCAACTATTGTATTTTGACAGTTGGCCCCACCAGCTGTTAAAATACCTAAGCAGTGCCTACAACTCACTTGATGCAGGCGCTATTAAGGCTGGGTTCCCACCTAGGCGGTTTTCCGCGCTTTCGTACTCGCGGAAAACCGCTCAAGCAGGAAAATGCCATTATTTTCAATGTGTATGGTTCCCATCTGTGCGGTTTTCCGCGAGTACGAACGCGCGGGAAACCGCCCTACGCCCAAAGAAGTACATGTACTTCTTTGGGGCGTTTTGGTCGGGTGTTTCCATTGGGATACAGCCAAGTATCCCTCGGAAACGCGCGTTTGCCGCGCGTTTTTTTAACCGCAAATGGCGGTAAAAAAAACGCGCGGAAAACGCACATATTCAATCCGCCCAGGTGGGAACCCAGCCTAAGCCAACAATTTTCTGCCCGGCTCCTTTTTTTTCTTCTTATAATTAAAGGATATTCATTAAGAACTGGCCAAAATTCGCTCCATGTATACCCAGCTTTACCCTCTTAAAGCAGCCCAGAGAAAGTCTCTTCAGAACGTATCTCTAGCATGAGAGAGGACAGCTGCACATTAAGCCTATGCTAAACTGGTCTGACGAGGAAAGAATGGAAATGAATTACAGGACACATTGTGCAAACCTATCATAACAGTGGAGACTATTGCTAATTCTCATTCTTGACTTGCTGTCTATGACATAACCTTTTAATGTAACTCCCCAACCTGTAGCCCTAAACCTTATTAAATTGATATTATTTGATCTGGGCCCTCTCCCCTTCTGGAAATCACTATATACTAGAAGGACAAAAATTTACTTGTAAAAAGAAAGTAAAAATATTTTACTTGCCTTACCCCCGTCTTTCGTCTGTGGTGCCTAGGCAAGGGTGACATCAAAATCCTGGGAGAGATCCCAAATCTCTCAATAAGATGCTCTTGCACTGAGCTGGACTGGGACTGTCTTCTCACTAGATTTAGGGTGCTCATTGTTCCCCAGGAACCTCACCAGAAGCATTGGGATGTAAAGCCCTGCAATGCAGAAGGCGGGAGTAAGGTATTTGTATTCACTTTTTTCCTTACAGGTACAATTTTGCCCTTCTAATATATAGCTATTTCAGCAGGGGGAGGGGGCCAGATTGTATATTACTGCAAAGTGCACTTTAACCAACCTTTTCCTAGGTAGCTCTAAAAACATTTTTTATATGGTCAGCGAAAAAAGCCTGCCCATAAATGGCACCAAATCACACCAGAAGAAGGAAAGGAAGGCCACATATGATTTTTGCATTTACAATATAAATATACCTTCTATTCATAGTGACAGTAGTAAGTTGCATGTATTATTTCTTGACAGGTGTGGCTGGAACATGGAGTTCTTCCTCTAGTTCCACTCTTCAGATTGATCCCAGGACAGGTGCTGCTTTAGCAAGAGATTCTGGTTTTGTGACGGTTTATTATGAAATTCCTGGGTTCCTTAAGTCTTACCGTGAGGTAACAAGTTTTACTATTAATCCATAAAGTAAATATAAAGGATATATCTCTACACTATATAAATGGTGGCTAGGCCACAATTAACAATAGACCTGTTGTAAGACCACAGTATAAAACGAAACATGATTGCACAGACAGACAGGCAGGGTATAAATTGGACAAGGGTAAATAAATGATCATTGTTATTATCTTTAGAACTTTAAGCTCATGTCGGATAAGCAATCCTGTAGCTAGCAGCAACTTAGGAGACCAAAGAAACAACTGAGTCAGTAAGATAGTTTTTTGCCAGTGCTCCCTTGCTGGAGAGAGAGATTCTGCAACTTTTTGGCCTTCAGGAAAGCATATTGTACAAGCAGTTGAGTGTTCTATTTAGCAATGCTGACAGCAACTCTCCAGCAGAAGGGACAGGATCACTAGTCTGACATGAGCCCAATTCCTCAGTCTGTCCTATTTAGTTAGTGTCTTGCCTGCTATTAGCTTGAATAGCAGTTCACTAGGAATATGACTACCATTGTGTTTCTGGTCAGATCCAGGACATTATTAGTTGCAAGTTTTCTTTTTGTTTAAAAAAATCTAATAATCACATTATATAGGCTCTTGTAGTTTATGCTGACATCAATCTCTGATCCAGAATGCTTAGCACTTTTGGCTTTCTGCTTAGAAGATGTATTTTTTTATATACAGTAATGGGCTGTGTTTAACTCATTTCTAATGTAACAAGCTGAATTTGTGCCTAGGTAATGAGCGTTCAAGTGTTTTGTATTTCTAAAACCAAACGCAGGTCAGCAGATTCCCATTACTTCAGTGGTGTTGTGTGGATGACTGTTCTGGGGCTGCCCTTGACCAGTTTTGTGATGAGTTTCTTTGGACACTGAAGGTGCTACTGACATGCGTTTGCATTGCAGGCAAACAAGTGTTTGAACGCATGCGCTTGAGCAGCTTATCTGGTCCTTAGATTTTCCATGCTGAAGTCTATGAGGTCTTTAGCATAGCACCAGTTTGCAGGCAAACAGGTGTTTGAACGCATGCGCTTGAACAGCGCTGCCATAAAATGCATCATTTGGTAACAATGCCTGTCTACACAAGCCAGAATTTGTGCATTCATGCTGACTTTGGGTCTCCAAGTCCAGTTGCACACCAGCAGCTGCTGTCATCCGATGTCTATCGAAGGTCTATGGAGTATGGCTAATATGGTCCTTACATTTTCCATGCTGAAGTCTATGAGGTCTTTAGTATAACAAAGTCAAGTAGAACAATGTGATCTATTGATTTAAGGTATCTCTGTTTGACCTTTTTCCATAGGTCGGAAAGAACAAACATATAGCTACCTGTTTTAATGATGATTTGCCCCAGTGACTGGCTTGTGTAGCACTCAGAGAATAGGTTACAATTTCTGGCATCTAAACATATTTTGTCTGTGTACAGCTAGAGTACTGTATATTATTTCTTTTAATTAGTGATGCTCACAACAAAAGATGTTTACAGAAGCCATATATAGTATACGTTGTTGCTGTACAGTTATGTATTCATCGAACTAATATTCAAATCTTCTTCGTCGTCTATTTCAGATGTTAATACGTTCTCCGCAGAGAACACATGTGGTGGATGCAAATGGAGAGAAAATCAGTTTCCAGGCTGGAAATATGCATAAATTCCTTGTTCACATTGGAGAAAATAACAACAATTTGAAAGGTAAATATAGCAAATCTTTCTGGTATAATTTTCCTGCTGAACTGGCTTTTTTAAGCAGGCAACACTAACGGCATAGCAAAATTGCGTTTGTCAGAACGCGATACCGTTTTGGATTTGAGACTTTTTTTCTTTGTAGCACTAACTGTCATATTGTATTATGCATAATAATGTTTATCTAGGCCTTTACCTTGGAACTGATTTCATCATCATCTTTTGTCTTTATTACTTTGAGTCTTCCATGTTCCACACTGCATATTTTTGAGCAAAAACATACCTCTTCCGTGCCATAAACATTTTTTACACCGAACTCCCTCATGTCACAGTGTTCTCTGTCCACCAGGTGTGTTGTGGGTGTTTGACATCGCCAGTGACCACAGAGAGCTTTTAATCAGATAATCATTAAGATAACAAGGTCAGCAAGAACAAATGCCTGCCTAGGCTCTGTTCACACATTGCGTTTAGACTTTAGTGCACATTTTAACATACGTGTATAGCTGGAACACGTGGAAGTCGTCGAGAACATCAGACTTTTTGTGCGATGCACGTTTTTGTGCCATGTGTATGACACGTAGGTGTGAACAGGGTACATTAACATGTTTGGTTTTTTTAAGCATTTCCGCACAGAAAAACGAGCAGGTGTGAATGGAGCCTAATGTAATGATCAAATATAATTCTTTAAAACATTATTACACTTTATTAAGATAGCTTACGCTTGGGTGATGCTTTTCATATGCATATCTTAACACTTTAAAAGTTTATAGATTCTCTTTAAAATAAAATACTTTTACAGTTGTCAAAATGTACGTTTTGACAATTTCAAATTAGAGATCACATGTAACATAGAAACTAGGGATGCACCGATACTACCGTGTTTCCCCCGAAAATAAGACACTGTCTTATATTTTTTTTTGGCTAAAAAAAACACACTACGTCTTATTTTCGGTGTAGGTCTTTTTTTCTTTTTTAATGTACAACAATCCAAAGTTAATGCAAATCCAAATTAAATGATCCAAAATGGCAAAGAATAGGGTGATCAGGGCAATCAGGGGTGCCATACCTTTCCAAGAGCAATTTGGTAACCAGAATGAGCGAAGCTCACTTTCACTATAGATTCCTCACAGGCTGAGTGCATTTGGTATCACTCTGCGTGTGAAAGGAGCCGGCACTATAGAGGAAGCATCGGCTTATGTGGCTCTGCTCCCTCCGCTGCCACCTCGCTTCCTCTAGCGCTGGTTTAGTTGGCACCGCTGATTCTCTCCCGCGCCTCTTCAAGTTCCCCCTTATGCCATCACCGGCCCTCGGAATGGTCACAACTAGGTCTTATTTTCGGGGTAGGTCTTATATTTTAGCAATTCCCAAAAATGGTACCAGGTATTAATTTCGGGGAAACAGGGTAGTATCAGTGCCGATACCGAGTATGTTCCAATACCCGAACGTCTGGTATCAGGAAGCCAGGCGGCTACAGCTTGCGGTATATTGAGACCGCCACAGCCGGGATGGATCTCGGCATTACCCAGCTGCGTGAGTGACAGCTGGCTCTGCCTTTCTAGAGGCAGAGCCAGCTGTGCCCGCCCCTCCCCCCTCCGTTCTGCCAGTCAGCGCTGGAGGATCGGACAGGGAAGTGGGGGAATCCCTGTGGTGAGCCGTGAGTGACCGCCACAACTCTCTGCAGGGACATGAGCGAGCGACGGTATGCATCCGCTCACTTCCCGATCTAGTGAGCTGAAGTGTGACAGTTTCATTGTCGCACGTCGCCTCAAACTATGAGGTTGAGTGAAAATCACTCACCTCATAGTTCTCCTTTAATAAAACTGCAGGCAAATTTTATGGCAAATGTTTTTCTTTGCAGCCTTAAGCAATGAGACCACAGTTTAATAATCTCCCCATCTTTTCCTTCTCTTGCATAGCACATCCTCTTCTGTAACTGGCTTTCGACCATAACATTGTGGGCTTTATTTTTAAAATTTTTTAATGATTCAATGTGAGACAAGATGACCTGTGAATGAGACGCTAGAGCGATATTTCCTGATCACCAGGATTACACAATGAAACGATTTTAAAACATTTGATAGGTTAATTATAAGAAAGTGTTTGTAAGACTCATGCAGCATTATTTATGCTCAGGAGTGAAGTATATGTTTTCAGCAAGAGACGTGTGCTAGGAACTGTTGCTTATTCTTCTTGATGAAAAGAGTTGTTATGCCTTTATTGTTATTTCATATTCCATACACATAAGCATCCTTCAGAAATGTGTGATTTCCTTGTCACGTCAGAGTTGTCTTTTCAGAAGAAAAGACAACATTAAAAAAAAAGAAGAACATTAAAAAAAAAAAAGAATAAATTGAGTCATATTGACATTGTTAGCACAGGCAGGATTGGCTGTACGTGGAAGTGAAATGTATTCTCCCAAGAACATAATATAAATAAGTGCCTGTTCTGCTTGTGATGATAGAAAGAAATTGTTAATTTTATTAAGTTTTAAACTCTGCCAAGGCTTTACATTTTTATTAAAACTAATGCCAGATTTCTTCCCCTATTATATCAACTAACAGTAAAAATAAGAGATGAGAATGCAGGATAATTTGTGAAATATATAAAACTGGTGAGTTGCTGTTTTTAAATTCCAATTCTAATGACTAAAAACCCTGTCCTGGATAAGTATATACACTGCAAAGATTTAAGCAAAGCTCGCCTGTCCCTGCTGAGTGGATACCAAGACATGCAATTTCAGTTGACTCCTCTTTCCCAAGTTGGGAGAGATAGCAGTTTGGAAGACATTTTTCCCTGATACTCCATATTTTAGGGCCTGTTAATACTGCTGCTAGTGGCAGCTTAACGCAACTTGGACCTTATCCGAGGCTTCTGATCTTCAGTCACATAACCATTCCTCTGGACTTCAAGCTGAACTCTATGCAAACTAAGTTGAGATTTATACTACTCTGGCACCAGAACAGCCCTGCCTGTGAGGGCAGGAGACCTTCTTTTTCCCTGCTGCAGTTAAGCTGCACTTTCATGTCTTGTCCCCCTCCCAGCATATTACTTGACAGTAAAGGGGGAAGTAGCAGATTGATGAGCTTATCTCCATGTCATGCTGTCTTGCTTGATAAATCTGTGCCCCTAAAGTAGGTTTTGTTGTTTTTTGCTAGTGTCCTAGAGGGATGGAATTTTTTATGCAGCTCTGTTGTGTTAAAGACTAACTTATTTGTTAGCACCTTTTATTCCTTGGTTTTTTGTTTTTCAATCAAGACTCTTCTAAATTGCTGCTGGAGCTCAGTCTTTGATTGCAGCTTTCTGGTGCAGTTGATCCCAGCCTCCACAGTATAGTGTCTAAACCTCGCTGCACTGGACATTGTGGGGATAGCCTGAAAGTGACCTTCGGGCACTGGGTTTCATGTAGGACACCTTTCAGGCTCCATTCAGGTAAAAGTTAGCTGCTTACCTCTTTATAAACTCCAGAGCCACGGGCATTTCCTCGGCACTTGCCCTGTCTCTGAAGGCTCATCTTAGTGATTAGGCTGGTCAGGCTGAGCACCTGGACCTACCTCATTTAGGTAGGCTGCTTTGTGCCATTTATTCACCACAGTTTTACTGTGGAAGGGCTTAATACTCTGGGATTCAGCACAAGTGTGATTCGTTGGGTGAAATGTTGGGCGGTGCTCATGTTCTTTCCTCCCCATACAGCATAGAGGAAGCATCTCCTGGTTACTGCTCCTGCATACAAACACGTGAACTGTTAGTCTTCAATTTGTTCCTACTGCCTTTATACAGTGTCTTTGGTCACCTCCAGTCAGGCCCTTGCTACCAGCTGTCTGGCTCCTAATATCCGCACATGAACAGAGATCCCCAATAAAATATCCTTTATTATCTCAAACCAGTAACAAAATGTTCTGATGCATTTCAGCCCAGAAAAAGGGGCTTAGTCATAGCTATGGCTCCAAAGCTGTTTTCTGCATGTCTATTGACTGTTGATGTCTGCAGTGTAGAATCAGGTTATGCTCTGCTGTTAGGGTCCATTCACACCAGCTGCAGCACAAATCTCACAGCAGCTGGTGTGTGGTGCATGGCACAGTGCTGATACGCCAATTGTGCCCACATCGCACTGGTCTCCTTTTCTTTTTTTTAGAACTTTATTGATATGTCACAAGTGACATTTTATTAAGTTTTATGGGCACAGGATGGTGTGAGGCGGTTGTACAGCATTACATCCTGCTGTGCTTCATGCCACGGTGGTGTGAACTTTGCCCATCCGTGACAAGGCAAAAACAGCGCAGCCTTTATTAATCTGGTGTGAATAGGCCCTTAGTCTGTTCCACCCTTGAGGGCTTGTTCACACCAGCTACATTCAGTTGCATTTTTAAGCACATCGAAAATGCAAGCACAGAAATTTCAGAAAACGCAGTGCATTAAAACGTATATAATTGCACATGCTGAAATGTATACTGACCAAAAGGATTATGGTGTGAACAAGCCCCTAATCCTATTTGGCTCTGTCAGGTGTGGCTGGAAGCTCTCCCGTTTTGAGTATTTACCATAGTTGTGCGAGACTTTATAAACCTAGTCACACAGTTATTTGCTGACTCTGGTCACAGAAGCCACAAGTGCGCACCCGTGCCCTGTTTTGCAGATTCTATATCTGATTTGCTAGCGGCTTTCGAGCCATTGGCCTTTAGAGACTCGGATTCTGAATTGCTGAAGTCCTTGACTGATGAGCTTACCCGTGTGCAAGTCTACGACTATTAGTCCGGAATCATCTTTATTGATGGCGTGTGCAACAATCTGAAACAAGAAAATCAGCCTGTTACTTCTTCCAGTAGTGTTTCCAGTCTTGAGTCATTTAAACTTCTAAAGACGCTTTGCACAGGCTTTTCCAAATCTTTCACTGTGGAGACTGGAAGTATCCTGATGTGCTGTTTTTCCCCCTAAGTGCTTATTAGCCTTGTATCCATTTGGTGAGGATTTTGTGCAGAAGTGGTCTGTTCCTTCTGTGGAGTGCAGTGTCCCACCTTAGCAAGGTATGTACTATTCCAGTAGATGATGTACCTGTCTTTTAGGACTTAAATGATAAGCAGTTGAAACCCCTTTCTTGGACCTCCTGTTATCGCTTGTATGTCCTGCCCTTATACAATTCTTGCTGTAACTCTACCTTGTCCAGTCCCTAGAAAGGAGATCTAACCACTGCTGCTGTTAATCCCTTGCTCATAGAATGAGCGAGCAGATAGCTATAGCAATACATTTTAGCTGTGACTGTTTTCTGCCAACCTCCTGTCTCATTTCTCCCATATATCTAATGTTGGTGTGTATGTGTAGACATGGGTTTGGAAATTTAAAAAAAAAAATACTTGTCCAAGGACTAAAGCGGGGGCCCAATCTACTTGTTCCTCATAACAATCTACTTGTCGTGATACAAAAAATAATTTTAACCAAAACTGTAATTAACCGCGCTAAGATGCACTTCTCGTTCAAAATCCATGGCGCAGGGCTGCACTAGGCGGCAGTATGGGGTACAGATAGTACATGCGTCGCGTACCAGCCGAGGGGAAGGACCGTTCACCGAAAGACAAGTATGGGGGGGCAGATTTGAGAAGGTAGTTTAGCCAATTTGCTTGGGAGAGTAACCTTGCCTCTTTATGCACATTGTGTGTTGGAGAGCGCTGCTATACCGGCTACCGCAATATGGCACACAGTGGAATGGGGGCAGGACTCAGCGTGCGCACACAGACAATGCCCTACACATGCCTTTTCTGTGGGGGCGGCGGGGTTGGTTGTAATTTTATTTCATTTTTATTTTTTTACTTTTTATCAATTTTTTTTCCACTTTTTCCCCCCCCACATTTTATTGCTATCACACCGGGAGTAACAATCCCCTGTGTTTTAAAATATGTAGCCTTAAAATAATAAACTAAAATGTGAATTAAACAATTTTAATGTTTAACTGGGCATTTTTGCATTCACTAGATTCTTTATGCCATCGGTTAGTTGGAGCAGCGTAATTTACACGCATGGCTGAAAATATTGCATTTCATCTTGGCCCAAATCAATCTGACACATTCTCCAGCAAAATACATTTTTGATTGTCAGTGGGGGTAGAATCCCCCTAAAAAAGAATGTACATCTACTCTGTTTATTTGCTAAAACCATAAGTGACACAAAACTGTGTGAAGATAAAAATGTACCTAGTTATTTGTAATGGTGCATGCATCTATCTGTCACATGACCAAGCAAATTTATATTTGTGCTAATAGGCGTGGCTATATATGGACTGGCACAGTATCCAGCACATACTTTTTGGCTTGCTTTTTCCATTTGTAATGAATATGTGAAGGATTTTGTTTTTGACGCACTGAACCTATAAATTAGATTTACTTTATTTTTCAAAAAGTAATGGAATCTTGTGAAAATAAAATGTCTTTACTATTTATAGGAGAATGTTCAGCAGCCCAGATTGAAGTTATTCAAGATTTTCACCCAGAAAACATGATTAACTGCCACTTAAGGTTTAAAGATCAGAATCTTGACATTCCAGCATCTGAAGTCTTTTCGGCTAATACTGGCTTTGACGTTGACTCAGGTATATATGGTTCATTTGAACCCCAAAGTCTATGGTACTTTTACCTGTGTATTTTAGTGTTTGTTTGTACTGGGATGAGGCTCATCTTGCTGCTATCATTTTAACATTAGCATGTATAGAATTTTAACAGTAGTAATAATAACATGTATAGTTATTGCTTTTTCCTGCTGAGCATTTAAAAAAAACTATGTTCCCTTATTTCACTTAAAACCTAGACAGCCTGGGTCACATGGTATATGACAGCCACAAGCTTTTAATGTATTATTTAAATTAGAAACTGCAGAGAATCTGCAGTTTTCGACAGAAGGGAATTTTTTAAAAACTGGAGCAGACAAAATCTGGAGCAGTTGTGCATGACAACCTATCGGCTTCTATTTCATTTTCAAATCTTAACTGAACAAACTGAAGAGAGATGATGATTGGTTGCCATGGACAGCTGCTCCAGTTTTTCTCTGCTCCAGTTTTGATCAAATCCCCCCATACTGTTTGCAAGATAAGAGGATCAACAAGACACAATCGTGTAGCACTACTAAGCAGGAAACAGAGACTGGCTATGTTATAAACAAATATGGCTGCCCTTGTGTAAATATATAATTAAATATATACAGGCAGTACCCGGGTTACGAACAAGATGGGGACTGTAGGTTTGTTCTTAAGTTGAATTTGTATGTAAGTTGGAACAGGTTTTTTTTAGTTTTTGGATAGCATAGGGAAGGGTTAACCCCCTGTAAAGTTTGTTTTGCTGTGTGTGCCCCTGTTAGAAGATTTCACCTCACTTTCTGTCCCTGTGACAAATGGATTTTGAACATTTTGGGCTGTCGTGGAGCGTGGTAGCATTACAATGGTTTTAACAGGGGGCAGGCTTTATAAAGTTTTTTTTTTTTTTTTTAAGGGAACCTGTGCCCAAATCATAACCCCTAAAATATTTACATTTTCTGAAAAGACAGGCAGTAAAGGCACTTTAAAACAAGCCCAGGTTCATCTCTGTATCTATAAGCATTGTGAAGAAAAACATAATTTTTTTTTTCTTGATGGTGCATCGCAGGACATGGGGCGTTAAATTCTTTAACCACTGGGTTATGCACCTACCATCAGGTAATTGTACACTGGTAAATCAATCAAAGCTGGAAAGCTGAAGTGTAAAGCTTTACCCTGTTTTGCTGAAATGTGCTAATGCTGCTCTATACCACTGCGGCACCTCCAGCAGCTATTCAGATTGTTTTTCTTCTTAGCACAGGCATGGAGGACCATGTTTTGACCCCACCAGGAGGAGGATGCAGGACTGGCCTGTAATGTGCTCAGTGTCTCGATCCTGCGTTCAGCACCCTTTTTGCCCCTTTGTGCAGCATGTGGTTAGCTACAGGGTGCTTTACAGGTCCAGGGCCAAGATTCATCTATGCAGCCCTGACTCTGAAGACCCTCTTATGTGGGTATGCCCATCCAAAGGGCGAATATCAGATAGTGTGTCTTTGCTGAGTGCTGCACATCCATGGTAAGGATCAAAAGCCCATTAGGTCAGCCTCAGCACAGTTGGCTAGGGGCCCAGGAACCACGCCTGCACAACCTTCTTACCCAAACCAAGAGAGAAGTTTCACTGCCTCAGCTCTGCTGTTACAAGCCAAAGTCACCTTGCTGCCAACAGTGGCACCCTTCTTGCAGCTGGCCGTGTTTTCTGTGGGGGAGCACAGGGTTACTGGGGCAGGAGGTCCCAGGAACAAACACCCTGATTGCAGCTCTGGCGAGGGATCTATCCCCTCTGGGGACCCCATCTTTGTTAGTCGCAGCCAGGGCCGGCCTTAGGCCTTTAGGCGCCCTGTGCGAGAAAGCTTTACAGCGCCCCTCAGTGGCCACACCCTTTAGTGGCCACCCCCCAGTAACCACACCCATTTATCACCCATATTTTTTGTAATAGGACGAGCTGTGTCGGCCGCACGGCGCCCTTGTTGCCATGGCGCCCTGTGCGGCCGCACTGCTCGCACACCCCTAAGGCCGGCCCTGGTCGCAGCTGTGCTCCCTATCCCCTTTGCTGCAAGCATCAGGTTTCTCCTCCTGCTCCCCCTGACTCTCCTCTGCTAGCTCTTCCTGAGTGAATGGAAGGAACTGTATCCAGTTTTCAGGAGTCTTCTCAGGAAGAGGAACTGTCCTCTGGCACATCCCCTAAGCTAAGGACATGATTTATGTCCATGTGGACATAGTCCACACTTGTTTGCAGTTAGAATTGGATTGTCACATTTGCCTAATGTCAAAAAGCTCAAGAAGCACTCGCAGATCCAGTAGAGTGTGCCTCAAGAGGAAAGGATGGAACTTAATCTTTGAGACCAAAGGCTTAAGTGATGGTCTGTCTGAGTCACCTAGAGATGGTCTTGGGAAAAGGGTGCAGCGGCTTCATATTTTACCATCGGTGATGTGAAAAATGGAACTTGTCTTTTTGAAAGAAGCAGTGTCTCAGAGAGAGACTCCTACAGCCCAAACCGGAAGGAATTTTCCCTATAGCGAGCTGGACCGAGAAACAAAACAACGATGTCCTCGAAGAGGTGAAAGGCAGAAAACTACCTTAAATAGAAAGTCTTGGGCCTCAACAACACCTTGTCCCTATTCTGTACCAGAAAAGGTTCCTTGCAGGATAAGGCCTCCAGTTCCTTCACTTGACTCGCACTATGCCTTCAGTGTCCAATTGTAGACCTTGCGGGAAGTAGCCTTTCTAGCTCTCATTATTTTAGTAATAGATTCCGAGCTGCCCCTGGAAATCTGGTCCTCAGTGCCCAAAAAAGTGGTGTGCCCAGAGATTTGATTGACAAAATAGGCTACCATCAGGCCAAAGACTTTCATGCAAAAACAGTCTGACGAGTCCTGGACTTGAGAGATCAAATCGGAGTCCGGAGAGTCTGAAGTTTTTCTTGTGATAGAAACACTCTGGACTGAGCTATATGCAGGGCTAGGCCCAGATACTATAAACGATGAGTTGGTTGCAGCACAGATTTCTAAGGTTCAGGTTCCATCCGAACCAAGGTGATGTCTGGAAAGTCCAAACCAAGCTGTCCGACAGTTTGTCAACTAGGTATCCCATAATGGGAATGCCACACGAGCACAGTGGGTCTAATACTGGTGTGAGCACTTTGGTAAAGACCCAAAGTGCAGATGACAGGCTGAATTGCAGGGCTCAAAGCAAGAGGGGTCTCAATTTGGAAGGTGCAGAAGTGGAGAGGTCCAATCCTCCTGTAGGCAGCTGTATAACGCCAAGGTAAATACTTCCTGTGTCCTCCAGAGGACGAGATAGGACATTTTAAGATTCAAAATGCAGGCATTGAAACCTTGACTGTTTTTGTTCTTTTGAGAAAAGTTCCTGGCAGGCTGCCAACCCTCTAATGTAAACAAGCAGCAGGTGTTTCTAAGCTGCTACAAACCAGACTCTGGAGTCTTTGTTGTGATCTTTGAGGTTCATTAGGAATTAACATCATACCAAAGCAGCTAGAGAGGTCAAGGATGGCTTGTTCTGTTTTTTTTTTTTTTTTTTGCTGATTGCTTTTAATATGTTAATAGTTTTTTTTGTTTTTTTTTAACATCAAATATGTTAATAGTTTGATGTCCATAGTCTGGGCACTGGTGTACTTTAAATTTAATTAATAAGATGACGCTGATCTTTAACATATCTAAGAAAAAAATACACTATAGTTTTACTTTAATGTTTCTTTTTTTTATTATCCTTTGTATCTGTCACTCTGTAAAAATATGTCTGCCACTTACTTAGAGCTTCTGCTATTTCCTGACACTTGCAAAAGCTGTTATGTCTCTGTAAAACCAGCAGGTTTCCTAATTATGGTCCTGTGTCATATCTAGGTCACTACATCTGTTCCCTCAGCAGACAGAAGCTTTCGGAGGGCCAGCTAAAACAAATCATCATCGGGGACACATCACTTATTGTAACAGCATCCGTCCTGGGAAATATTGTGTACCAGGAGCAGACAAGTGCACATGTTTCTGTCTATCCTGGATTTTATACCAACCAGAAGGAGCTTCTTTTAAGCAGTCATTATCCTACCACCACTGTTAAGATATTTGGAGCTACTGAATTGTTGAAAAACCTTGAGGTGAGAGTTCAAGTTCTATATCCATAAAGTGTTGACCCCATGACCTATTTAAAAGTGGTAAATCGGCAAAAACTACTAGGTACCCAGGAGTGCTTGTTTGCATACTTTATAGAAGAAAAAAAATGTTTACATACTTTATAGAGCACCTGGGTCCCCCTGAATTCTGGGAATTCTGTTTTGTAAACTCCTATGGTTGAGTACTGGAAGACCAGTCCTGTAAAACAAGAGTGATTGTACTTGGCTTACAGCCCTTGTCTTGAAACACCATCATTTTAGTGCTCTCCTGCCACTGGTTGTATGCTACACTTCGAGGTGTGTCAATACCTGCTTTTGCTGATGCATGTAGTAGTTTCGCCTGCTGGCTCATATTTCAGTACAGAATATATGAGCCAGTGGGGGGGTAACCGTTGTATGTCACAGAGGGAACGGGTATTTGGACCATCACCATGACCAGTCGAAAATCTGCAGTGGCTGCAGAGCACTAAAACAGCAGCAGCATTTCAACACATGGGCTGCCAGAAAGGCTGTTTTTTTTGTATGTGACCCTGTGATGACAGGGTAGAAAGTAGAAAAGAGCAAGCTAAAGGTGACCCTGTGATGACAGGGTATCAAAACATTTATGCAAGCCTCTAAATGCCTTCTCTCACTAGCTGCTATTGGTTTAATGCTTTTGTAGTGACCACAGAGTCACTTCAATGTGCGGGTTAATCACTTTCTACTTGTTTTAACTGCTGAAAGAAATGTATATGCATAAATAAGAAATGTCTTTATATGTGGATTTTTAGCCTTTTATCCACTCCTTTTTTTTTTTTTTGAAAAGGTGTCATACTTTTGTGGGGCTTGTTAAAAAAAGTGATCTGCGGTAACAAACAGAAATCGGTCTGATTTTTTCTTTTGATGTATGGCTAGTTGCTATGCAATGCTTCCTTTTGGGAGGGGGGTAATATTTTACAAAATGATTTCATCATACAGCCACCTGTATTTTAACATAACTTTGTCATTTTAAAAACATTTAAGCTGTTATCCAGAATAAAGTGCAGACACATAGAGTACTAGTAGTATCAAATCTTGCCAGTTCCGTTCCGCCCCCTATGGTTCCCGCTGGCCTATCACTAACTGCTCAGTTTAGAAGCAGACACATTATTTACTTGTTTTGGTTCTCTTTCTGCAGGTGAAGCCAGAGTCTTCAGTCATTACTGTCTATCAAAATGAGAAATATAATGGGGCGCCCAGCTTTGTAACTTACGAAGTTGGTATATCTGATGTTCAGGTGTTAAATCAGGGTTCCTTATCTACCTCAATAACCATTTCCAGTTACATGTCTGACCAAACCATCAACATCCCGATTAAATTGATGGCAGCTACAGGCCCACTTAATGGTATGTGAGCTCTATACTATTGTTCCTTACAGTATTATATGATGTTTCGAACACTCTGCGCCACTTGGTCTAGTGTGTTGTGTTCCAGGGCTCTCCCTGTTTTACAGACAAAGCAATTATATTGGTAGTTTTAATCAACAGATCCCCCAAAAAATGTCACTGTTGCCATTAAATATAAGATGTGCAGGGCCAGATGCGATAATTGGTTACTAATGGTAGTCGGTGTAAGTTATACTAATGGTAGTTTTAGAGAGTGAAGGATAAATATGGAGTTTTACTCAAAGAACTTGCATTTTTATGTACATTGTTTACACTAGGGATGCACTGATACCATTTTTTTAAGACTGAATACAAGTGCTGATACTTTTCTTCAAGTACTCACTAATACTAATTACCGATGCCTTTTTTCCAGTGTCATGTATCAGTTTTTCTAAAACAATGCAGATTAATGATTTCAGGAGTAGTGGAGCGCCAGTCACAGCTGCAACTGTTGCAACCCTGGTAGCTCTGCCACTAACGGCAAGCTGTAGGGCGACTACAAATCCCAGTAACACATTATACAGCAATGCAGAATAATATGAAGCTACATAGTCTGTGTTGCTCATCAGGGCTGTGCAGCATCTCAGGAGGCTGCTCAGGCCCTGTGTGGGGTCTTAGGAGGATGTGCAGGGTCTCACCTGGGCTGCATATGGGTCTCACCAGGGGTGCATGCGGGTCTCACCATGACTGCGTGCGGCTCTCACCAGGGCTGTCAAGTGTCGCCAAGGCTGGGTGCAGGTCTCCCCATGGCTGTGCGGGTCTTAACAGGGCTGTTCCTGGTCTCCCCATGGCTGTGCGGGAAGGAGAAGGAAATGTGCTGACGGACTGGCACTGTAAAGCGCGGAACCTCAGACAGCCGCTTGTGTTCAAAAATGTAAAGCGCCGATATCAGCGCTTAGTATCTGGGCATTGTCACAAGTACTTGTATCGGTGCATCTCTAGTTTACACTTTACCCAACCAGGCTACACACACTCGCATGTCCTTGAATATTGTTTACATTCCCACCACTGCCAGCTGTTAACTGTTTTTGTTCCCTCCAGTGCCTTATACCGTGGGGACGGGCTTCTTCCATCACTTTCTGAACTCTTACCAGATGATTTTCTTCACTCTGTTCACATTGTTAGCAGGGGCTGCTATAGCCATTCTAGGTAAATTAGATTCATTATTCATACTTTAATATAAATGTGTAATATATCATTGTTACAAAACCTTTCTGTTTTGCTCTTTTAGTATTTTCACCAAAAGAGAAGATTGATCACCCAGCCTTTAGGTCTACATCACCACCTCTGGCATTAAACAATAGTAAGTATTTAAAGTAATATTTATGTTCTATCAATGTATATATACACTGTATTTTGCGCTCCATAAGGCGCACCGGTACATAAGACGCTGGCAGTTTCTGTGACAGAAGCTGCAGTAAGTGACTGCTGAGACAGGGGGTGCTGTGATTACAGCGCCACGGTCTCAGTGATCACACAGAGCAGACGAAGAACAGATGTTCTTCGTCTGCTCTAGGGGCTCTATTGTGAGCTCCTATCCCGTGGTTACAGGGTCCCCCAGAGGAGCGGGGGACCCAAAAACCACGGTGGGGGAGAGGGGGGTATATATATATGTATATATTTTAAAAGACATCTAAATTTAAGAACGGTAGTGACATTTCTTGTCAATTGAGGGAGACATGAAACCATAAGCCTGATGCTTACAAGGGCATTAGACACAAAAATTGTAGGCCAGGATAATTCCCATCTACTACTGTCCTAAAAGGATGGACTTCTTTTCATCAGCTTTATTGATGTAAAGGTTAACTTATTATTTTGCAAGCACTTGTTTGTTTGGGTTTTTTTTTTCTTCAATCAAGACTCTTCTCTACACCATTGCTGGAGAGTCACCCCTCTGATTGGCACTAGTCTGGTGTGGTCAATTCTCAGCCTGAATTACTGAGTATGGACCCAACTGAACGTCTAGCCTGGAGGTGATGTACGGGCACTGGGTTTTCACGTAGGGAGCTTTACAGGTTGGGAGCTGCTGACATTGCCTCAGTGCTTGCCTTGTTTTATAAAGACTTTTCAAGATGAGTCGTATACTGGGAGCCAATTCATTTTGATTGGTCGCTGGACACTATTTTTCCTGGTTTTGCTACTGAAGGGGTCAACTTATTTCTAACTGCCCAGGCATTACAGAAAGGAGGTTTGGGTGGATCCTGCACGTTCAGAAAATGTCCCTGGAGCTGGTTTGTTGCTTGGAGTATCTGGGTTTAGTAGTGACATATGTCAGGCCAAAGTCGTGTTCCTTCCGCAGGAAGGATTTTTAGGCCTGGAATCTCACCCAGTTTCATAATCTTTGACATTGGTGGCAGCAGTGGAATTTACTGAGATATCCAGGCCAGAACTTCAAGGAACAACTGCTAAAAAGAATTGAGGGAAATGTCTACAAAAAGTCAATGGGTGGTTTGGTATGAAGAGGTGATGGACATGCTGGGGAAAACGGGCCACTCTGGACAATAAACAGGAAGCCATGAGAAGTGCAGACCAGCAAGAACTCACTGACTTTGCACTACAGAAGGCTCAAGCTGACAATGAGGCAGCTTTGGGATTTTTGATACACTGCTTTTTTTAGATTCCCTTTTTGCCATTCCGGAAGTGGGAAAGAAGGGTGCCCTGGCTTCTCATTCCAAAATTTCTAGGTATCTTATACGGACCATCATTCAAGCTTATGATCTCACAGATCTAGCAGAGTGTACCTTGCCATGATTGGGTTCTACCATTTCCTTTCAAGACGCACACTACTAGTTTCAGGAGTGCTCTTGGGCTTTTCGGCATTAAGCAACTGTAAACTTGGCTATACAGGTGAAACTCGAATAATTAGAATATCGTGCAAAGTTCATTTATTTCACTAATGCAACTTAAAAGGTGAAACTAATATATGAGATAGACTCATTACATGCAAAGCAAGATAATTCAAGCCGTGATTTGTCATAATTGTGATGATTATGGCTTACAGCTCATGAAAACCCCAAATCCACAACCTCAAAAAAGTAGATTATTACATGCAATCAATAAAACAAGGATTGTACATAGCACAATATCGGACCTCTGAAAAGTACAAGCATGCATATGTACTCAGTACTTGGTTTGGGCCCCTTTTGCAGCACTTACTGCAATTACTTTTGCACGATATTCTAATTATTCGAGTTTCACCTGTAAGTGCATCTGCACTTACTGTCCTCCTAAACTCCAGTGGTGGAATGTCCCTTGGCATCCTCATGTCCAATACACTGGGACTTTAGACCTGTAGAGTGGAGGAGGAGAGAGGCTGCAGGGTCCAGTCTAGAAGTCAGACGTGAGCGAGGTTCGGTCGAGTATATCTTTGTTTTTTTTTGTTTTTCTTTAACAGGTAAAATATCTTTGTTATTTTAGCTCCCTAGATAAAACGAGCACTTAACACCGCCACACTGCAAGGGTTAATTTTCTTTCTGCCAGGTGTTCTTCTTTAAAGAATACGTGCATTTTACTACACAACTCCTCATATGCCAGATATATACAGTTATACTGTGGCAGCTTTACCATATCCTGAACTGTGTCTTTGTGTACAGCTTTTCAGCAGTCCTCCTCCTCCTCCATCTATCCTCTTGCTTGCATTTTCTCACTTCCTCACTAAAGAGCAAAAGGCAGATTCCTCAAAAATCTAAAATTTCCTTAGAATAGCAGAATGTTATTGAATTCATAGGCTGGTTCTGAGGTTGTTTGTTTTTTCTTTGCAGCAAGGCCAATGCTTTGAGAAGTAATCAGTCTGCCTATGGCTTGGTTACAGTGGTAGGCCACAATTTAAAAAAAAACTATTTTTTTCTCTCTATTTTAAGGTTTTGCATCATCCCCATCCTTGCTTTATCCCACCCAAGGATCTCCAAGGATGAACAATTCACAACCACGAATATTGTGGAGTCCAGACTATGCTTCCAACTGAGAACTCTGTGATATACCAAAGACCTCAGCTATTTAAATTGTGTGCCTTGAGTCACATACGTCCCATGCCAGACAGCATGAGACCAATATTTTATGCAGATTGCATTGCTTCATGTTTGGTACTGTATTTTATTTGGACTGGTTTGGTTTTGCTTTTGAAAAATGTCCAGCTTGGTCTACTTTCTTAGTTTTAATTTTTAAGAATGTATTTTATGTAATTTACCATCCTTCCACTTTTTTTCTTTCCAAGAGATGTAAGCATATTTAACAAAGCAGAATATAAGAAAATAGCAGTAACGTAAACCAACCAATTAAGACCCTTTTCCTGATTATATGCCACGTTAAACTCTGATTGGTTTCACTATGCACTTCATCATTTTCTATTTGCTCTGCTTTATTAAATAAGCTAGAAAATGACCACTATGCGTAAGTTTCTCCTCAGGCCTCTCTTTATTTTAGATTGTATTGTCTGTAATTAGAATGATTTCTCTGTGTGGTATTACTTCTGTTTAACTCAGGAATATTTTGCACTGACTAGCAACCGTAGCCTAATAATGTGAGCCTGACCAATTGGAAACAAGTAGCTGTGAATTCTGGCCTATATGCCTTACCTGTGGAAATGACCGGTCAATAATTCTCTTTGCCACCAATGACTGTGACTGTGGCATAACAATTTTTTTTCTGCTTCCTAAGGCAAAGGGGAACTTTAGAAATAGTCAAAACAATTTAACTTACACACACTTTTTTTGTTTTGTTTGCGGCAGCGGTTTAGGATGAGGGCGGAGCCTTAACTGTGACAGGCGGCAACCTTTACCAGCATGCTGGACTTAAAGTGTTAATGGTCTTTTTATGGTCATGTGCTTAACATATTCTACAATATCAAAGAGCATTCATATTAACATACCTCTGACTGTTAACTTCTACTTACTAGGCTTAAAGGGACCCGTGAGTACAAAAATGTAAAAAGTCAGCAATGGAAGTTTCCAAAGGATACCTAATCATGATCTAAATTTATAGGCTGCCATTGCTGACTTTCTGAAAGTGTTAGTTGCTTGGCTTTCTCTGGCTATACAGAGGTCAGAGCACTTGATTTGCACACTTCCAGGTCAGTGACTCGGCAAGTATTAAAATAATGATCATACGAAATGTCTTTAAATTATGCTTTCCTGTCTATTTTAAGCATCTCTTTATTTTTTTATGTAGGATTTTACAATCATTATTTTTACTTTGGGGTTTTCCTTTCTTTACAAATCATTCCTAGTATTTTTGGAGAATAACCACAGTCTGAGATGGCTTACCCTTCAGCAATGACAAAAGGCATAATTTGGACAAAAAGAGCTCCTGTTTGTTACCTAAAAAAATCCCTTCCTGTTCATTTTAAAGTGCATTTCCACTTTTGCAGCCAATTTGGGATAACACTTATTTTATGTTTGTTACTTGTTCCCATTCACATAGCTTAGGCTGAAAAAATATTAAAAAATGCTTTGTGCAGTTTGAATTGCTTTAACTTGGGTTCGGGTTTCTGCTTGGCTTAAGGGTTAACATTTCTATTTGCTGCTCTTTCTTTTGTAATGTTGGGAGGGGCTGTGATGGGTACGGGGCTTTTCCATTGAAAATGAGCGAAACACACTCCTCAAATTTCAGTCCTAAGCCTTTCTATAAGGACAGATCACTGTGAAGGTGCTGAGAAAAATCAGCCATATTGCTTGCTGCAACAAGACATCTAAAAGGTAAGAAATATATATGTTTTTTTTTTATATTTTTCGTTATGCTATTAGTAGACACTCATATAGAGGGGTTTTTCAAATGTGACTGCAAAAGTGGAAATACATTTTAAGTTCCCACATCTGCTCAACAATGGCAACATCGACCTGACCACCTTTTAAACATTTTGGTGGGAAAGACCTTCTAAATTAGATTTGGGAGTTAAATTTTCATCATGATCACATACCCCTACCATACTACCTTCACTCACTGTAAATAGAAGAAATCCTCTCAGAAAAGAGACAATTTCTTAACGGGATACCGTTTCTTGAAGAGTAATCTGGAAGTGTGTTATTGATAAGGATCCACACAAAGCCAAAGTTTTACTTTACTCTTGCATTCCACATTCTATTTGTTACCTCATATTTCATTTAGGCAGTTGCATTTCAACTATAGCTCTGTTTTGTGTCTGCCGTCTGTTAAAAAAACAAACAGTGGGCAGAGGATAAAGTGAAAGTGTTGCAGGTCACCTCCAGTCAGATATTCTAACTTACACTTGACCATGCCCATTGTAGTGTTATTAGCTATGGGTAACATGTCCATTGTAATTTCTGCCAGGCTTTAGATAAAAGCCTGTATAGCTGGGGGCCCCATAAGGCTGGCATGTTTTTTGTAATACTGTTGGTGCGGCATGCTCTTCCTCAAAAGTTTGATGTGTTGCGATTGGACATTTTCATTTATCTTATCAAATTTCAACAGACATAAAACACAAACAAAAAGTCATACATTACGTATCTATGCGTTTTGGACAATTGCGACCAAGTTTGTACTGCAAAAATGGAAGAAAGGAAAGAATAGGAAGTGCTACCTAGCAACCAGTCAGCGTCTGGCTGTAATTATCCTAGGACTGGTTCCGAAATGAGTGCTGTTGTCTCTTTTACTGCATTTCTATAGAACAATAGAACAATCCTTACAGGAAACCTTTACTGAGATTACCTATCCATAGACCAGATCAAAAGATAAATACAGGCCTCAGAAGGTGGCTGCATTTACCCTTAATTATTTCTGAAAACCCCAGAAGCCACCTAAACTTAAGTCATTTAATATGCAAATGCAAATTTCCAACTCTGAAACTAGAGAATACAGCCACTGCCAGGTTACTAAATTCTGAAGATGCCACAAGCCAGCCAGTTGTGAACTGTAAATTCCATTGCTGTTGTGTAATACTAGCCTGTTAATTGTCTTGTAGTCAGGCATACATGTTGTTACCCTTTAAACTTCGCTTCTAATCCCAGACCTGGTACACTCTAACTTGTACACTTATAAAGTACAGTATGCCTTCTTGAACAGCATGTATTAACAGGTCATCAAAATCAACACTGATTCAAAAAGTAGGGGTCCAATCCTTACTAGGATTACAGATGAAGCCATGTAAATACTTTAGGACCCTCTATAAAACCGTAATGGCTTATGTACAGCTTGCCTGAGTAATTTATTCCCATTACGTTAGCGGTTTCAGCCTTTTACAAGGTTTGGAACACATGACTATGAAACAGAGCTTGGAGGGGAATCTAACTAGGATAGTTAGCCTATTGTAAAACAAGCCAAGATTAATTAAAAGTCCTTCCTCTAAACCTCTGCAAAGTACAGTACTGCCTTCTTAAAACAGGTGTTTGTGTGTCAGCACTGCCAACAGAAACTCCGATTTATTCTTCATATTACATCTATTCGTCACTGTATATCTATACAGACACAGTGCTTACATTAAATGACCCAAATATGAACACCAGTACATAAATCTCACAGTACAAATGTCCATTATACCATGTACAGAGATTGCATATACATCCATATAATGTACTATTAATAAATTAGCTAGGGCAATAGGTCGGCTTACTAGGAACATTCTTTCAATTATGTATGTTTCATGTTACAATAGCCTATGTGTGCTATTTGACTAAGTATGTCTGTAAAACATGCACAACTTTAATGCATGGTTCCTGTACTAGTTATTTAAGACGATCACAGATACTGTGTGTATATTAGAACTGCTTAAATAATTGATTGTTCAAGTTTTTATGGTGCTGTAAATGTCATGACTTGTTCATGTATTGGCATCATGCAAGAAGGAACCCTGACAAAGTATGTGCAATTGGATGGATACAAATGTGAAGAACAAGATGTGAATTTGTCTGCCATCATGCTCAAAAAAGCTAAGAAGTATGAAACTTTTCCTCAGGAGCCTAGATACTCTTCTATGCTTTCAATACCTCAAGCTGAAAGGTGTGTGTGTGTGTATTAACGTTCTTGAAGTTGAATAATGTTGAATGTACACATAAAAAAAAAATTCTGTCATAAAGAAGTGAAGTCACATTCATCATTTTATTTCTGCTGACTCACTGTGAATGCCTTTTGTGCCTTATGATTTTTTGCTCATGTCGGCTACATTGCAGATTTTCTTTGTACAATAAAGTATGTTTTCTTAATACACGCTGCATTGTCATCTGTATAACATTTGTGTTTATTTGTACTGAAACACAGGTTCTTTAAAGAGACTGTGCCAGCGGTGACAGTGTCTCCCTGGAAAGTGCATCCCTCAACCTGCTGCCTATACTTTCTTACCAGCACTCCCTTGCAGTTTGACAATGGCAGTGCAAATTAACGTACAATTGTTGGTAACGCATATACAATTGCATGAAGAGGTGAATGGAAAGGTGTAAATTCAGCCCTAAGGATCCTGGTTGAATTTGTAAAATTCCCAAATCAGTAGAAACTGTTTCCCAGTAGAAGCGTGTGTATATATTTCAACCTACAGTATTTGCCGGCGTATAAGACAACTTTTTATACTTAAAAACATCCCCCGAAAATCGGGAGTCTTATACGCCGGGGTATACAATCTAATCTGTCAGCCAGCTGGATGTGCGGTAATACTGTATGTAGGGTAGCTTCGGCTACATACAGTATACCGCGCTGAGCCAATCACGGCGAGCGATGTACACAACCTCTGCCAATCCGAGCAGGCTTTGTATTCATTAATAGAATACATAGTTCGCCGTGATTGGCTCAGCGCGGTATACTGTATGTAGCGTACATACAGTATTGCCGCACATCCAGCGGGCTGACAGATTAGTGTGTGTATGTAAACATTATTTTGGGCTATACTTGTCTTATACGACGAGTATAGCCCAAAACCTATGTTTTAACTGAAAAATTAGGGAGTCGCCTTATACTCCGGCAAATACGGTATATAGAAACTCTCAGTACATAATATCAAGCGGGCAGTGTCCTAAACAATAGCCATTGCAGCCCACGCAGCTGCTATGGTGCCTGGGGTAGGAGGGGACCCCGTTAGGAGGACAGATTAGGCAAACTAAACTGTGAAGATTCCCGTATAGAAGGGCTGAAGTCA